TGCCGTAACTGCTAGTTAACAGATTGTGGAATCAGGAGAGGTGCATGGTTCTTTCAAACTCAGGAATTTTGTTTTTGGGGCGTGTGTGTGTGTAGTTGAGTCCAGGCAGGGCCTCATGCATGAAGCACTTTGCCACTGACCTACACTTTTCTCAGGATATTTTTAATGCCAGGTAGGAGATACACTTCTGAAAGCTGAGACCATAGACAATAATGGACTTTACACAACATGTGAAAGACAGACGTTTTACTTTCACCTAGACTTGGTCTTTCTTATATTTTGTAATTCTCAAAATCGAAGCATAGCTAAGTCATTCAAAGGCCTATTTTTAAGATGAAATAACTTTTCTCATTTAACTGGGGAAGATTAAATGTTTGCTTTATAACTTAATAATAATATGCAGCAGCTGCCAACCTTTTTCCACAGCAGCTGCACCTTTTAACAGGCCCACCAGCAGTGTGGGAAGGTTCTAATCTCTGCATTTTCTCTAGCACTTTGTTTTTAGTTGTCTTTTGACTTAGCCTTTCTAGTGAATATCAAAGTGGTGTCTGATTTGCATTGTCCCATCTCTCATCTGCAGTATTAGTTTTTCCTTTTATTAGATAATTCTAGTGAACATATGTACTGTGAACTCCCATCTTAAAAATAAAAACAAAACTTTAAAAAATTAATTTGGGATTTAAAAACAAGTTTTAAATTTTGTTTCTTACAGAAAGGTTGCTGCAAAATACAGAGACCTCTTTAGCAATTACTTATTTTTTCTTAAAATGAAGAGATGGATGTGATCCAAGGAATTGCAGCTGTAGATGGTTACATCAGGAGCATCTCCAAATTATGTTTAGGAAATAGAGCAACAAAATGCAAAGTTAAAATTTCTGGGCAAATAATTCTTTTACCAACTTGAGTACTACCACCCTCTCTCCTTTAGTGGAAAAGCATGACCTATTACTGCAAATCATTTATTTGACTTCAATAAACACCTTAGAGCATAGTTTTGAATAATGTGTTTGCCTGCAGTATTTAGGAGGTGGAGTGAGACAAACACCCACAGAAAATAGTACAAAACCTGACAACAAAATCCCTCAACTGAGGGCAAAGGTTTTCTAAAATGTACTTGGACTGGAAAGGCTACAAGATTATAAAGAATTAAATAAAACTGTATGTCTTAAGACTCAGTTTTTGTTAATATGTAGGATGACCAAATAATCTTTACCTCTGTGGCTAGCCCCTGTTTCTGTATTTATTTAGACAAAGTCAACACAACTCTATATTAACAACTATGGATATACTAGTTTATCCTTTAAGATCTACCTGCCCTACTTGGCTGGAACCAGTAAACCAAGGTTTTCCATGAAGGCTAAGTTTACTGCAGCTGTGCAGGGATAAGAAGTTTATCACACACTCACACTTAGTCACACCAAGTCTGTCAGCCCTTAGGAATTAACTTCCAACTCTTATGTATTTTATGACTCTTTGTCTTGTATTTGCTCTTTTCCTGTGTTCTTATTTTGTAAAGCAAGGTAAGCATTCAACCCATTTGCCCCTGGTCCTGGTTATCCAGGAGTATTAGTTGTATCAATGAAATGAGACTAAAAACACTGAACAAGTGCTCATGATGGGGATTACTGAGTAGAACAAGGATACAAAAACATAGATGTGCATATTTTACTAGAAATCTCAAGGATCCAATAACTACTTGTTAGATCTGAACTTTCTGCCCATCAGTGTAAAAGCAAGACCAGTATTTTTGTACTTTTGTACCTGAGTCTTCAAAATGAGTGAAAAATCTGTGAGTGTGAGAGTGAATCTAGTTGAAAACACGATAGAACAAGTTTACACTGACAGTTAAATTCATGTTAGAAGAAAACCAACTTTTAACATTTTATCTTTATAACTTTTTAAAACATGACAGCTTCTTTGGGGAAATGTGAGGGCTGAGAAGACAGGGCCTGGGAAAAATTACCGTGACTACATCTGGAGTGATAGGCCACAGAGGACAGCTACTGAGGTTCAACACACCTGTTCACAGCCTATGCAAAGTTGCTGTAGATCCAGGTCATAAATCCTCCAGCTCATCATGAAACAAGTCCCATTCTTAAGAGACCCACAGGTTATCTTCACCTGCAGACAGGTTATCTTCACCTGTAAACAACAGCTGTGGCTCAAAGATAACAACCTCTTCTTCATTGTTGTCACAGGGCTACTGTTCTCTTTCCTCAGTGAGCTCCCAGAAATGGTTCCTTCTTTGAGAAAGTAACCTGCTTGATGGAGGAACCTGCTTAATGGTCCTATTTTTCATCCTAGTGGCTTCTCTGTGTAGCTGTCAGGGTAAAAGGCTTATAAAAACAATTCCCTCCATGTCCTTCATCAAAATCCGTACATGGCTTGTTGCTCATTACCTCCTGGATTTCAAAAGAAGTTTGTACTGCTTTCTACTTCACTCTGCATACACTTGGAATGACAAAGTTAAATGTGACCTGGTATTCTGGGCAGGCTTTATGAGTCTCCTTTAGTATTCCTCTACTTGTGAACACACCTGAGATGGTAGGTATGGTTATAGCCAGAGAACATCTCAAACAACCCTTAATATATGCCCCCGTAGTGTCCTATCCTATATCAAATGAAGTAACCTCATTTCCTTCTGTTTTAGGCCCATGGAATGCTCCTAAAGGGTTTTGTGTAAAGTGTGTTCAAATGTAGACCCCATATATGTACCACTTGCCAACCCACTTGTGTGGGTTGCAGAATTAGCAAATCTCAGTAAGCTTTTTTCAGTTTTCATGCTGAGGACCAAACCCAGGATTTTGCATGTGCTAAATAGCCACTCTTACCAGTGAACTATACCCCCAGCCAATTATCTTGATGATAATAGTACATTTTAATAAAAAAGTTATTACAAATCTAATACCTTAATTAGTAATTTAGTGTTGTATTGATGTACTTGAGCTAATAATACTATTGCGTATGTAACATATAAATACCCAATAATTCTTAGGAGAAAAATAGATATCAGATGACCTCTTAGTATGGATAAATCAAATGCTTATGTTAGTGGGTTTAATCCCAATTAACCTCGAAGGCACTGTTATCTCTAATTTATATAAAATGCATGAACTGAGGTTAAGGAATCAAAAATAAAAGGCTTTGGTCATTCTTGGCTTGTCTTTCTAAGATGACCCACCTGAGGGTAGTCATTTTCATCTTACAGATAGCACTCCTTCTGTCTATTAAAAGTGTATTTCTTTCCTAGTAAACTTTGTTATCACTTTCAGTGCAAGAAAAGAAAGAAAAGGCTTTATTAATCTCATTGTTACTACAGATCTTTCTTTATTTTATGATCTTACCGGGTAAAATATCAAGTGATTTAGTTCTCATTGTTTTAAGTCATTGTACATTTTCTCCAGTATTTAACTTAGAAAATGGTTTCTGTGTCCTAGTTTGTTTCATGATTTTAAATAAGCGCATGAGCTCTGAAACATAACTTTTATGAAATTTCAGTCTTTTTCTGTCTAAATTTTTAATTACATAAAAAGTACTATGCTATAAAATAATTTTAAGACTTTGAATGAAAGACATATTTACAATTTTCTCGGAGTTTTTGGTCACTATTACCTTTTTACTAAAAGTGGAAAAATACTATTGCTCTTTGCTTTAAGATATTTAAACATTCAAAAGCGAGTAGGAGGGTGTACACTATTCAAAAACTGTGTACACATGTATGTAAATGTAAAAATGATACCTTTTGAAACTATTTCAGAAATGGGGAGGGGGATAAAGGAGAGTGGTGGAGAGGGTGAATTCAAGTATGATATATTTGATACATTGTAAGAACTTTTGTAAATGCCACAATGTTTCCCCACCCAGCACAATAATTAATAAATAAATAAATGAGATTAGAAAGCATGTATTCAATTCCAAAATTTGATGACACTGAGGAAATACTTTTTTTTTTTTTGCAGTAGATTGAAAGGTTCTTTATGCATACAGACCTCTGTCCCAACACTAATAGTAATACAATCTTAATTCATTCTTTTAAAATTGCATTCATTGTCTTAAACAAATGTTACTTACAATTTCCTAGGAAAGTATTTATGATAAAGATGTTGATCATTCCAGTTTGAAAACATTTCATTTGGAAGCTTAAAAACTTATGTCTTGGCAGTAAGATCATTTTAGTTTCAGTATTATTTTAATCAAGTGGATGTGTGACAACAGATTTTTTTTCCCTCCTGAATGTTTTAGTAGTTCTTTTCTTGTACTCATTCTAAACTTTTTTTCTGTAAGGAATTTGAGTTTAGAACCAAAGACATCTGGATTGGAGATTTATTTAAAAAATTATGTTAAACATTTATCTGTAGACATTTATTTATAAAACTGCCTCAATTAGGTATCATGGTTACTGCCTTTTCTGTGACTTACTGTGTGTGTTTTTAGCCTGCTCACTAACCTGTGCCTCTCTGCTTGTCTGGTTTCTCACTTCTTATTAGCCTTCTGGTTTTTGAGAATAGCCTTTTAAGTCTGATTTGCTGTCTTGGTGCTTTGGAAGAGTAGTCACGTGTCTTCTGGGAGAAAAGAAATGAGCTGATTATGTGGGGAGAGTAGTTGACATGGAGAAAGCTTAGCGGTTCCTTGTTCCATGTGTTAAACAGAATGAGTTTAGAGGATTATGATTACGTGCAGAATCGTTATGATAGACGGGATACTTGTTTTTTTTGTTGTTATGTTGGTGGAAAAATAGCGTTTTTTAAAAAGTATGTGAAGATTCTACATTCTAGATGGTATTAGTGGCTTTATTTTTGAAGTACACTTTCAAGAAAAATAGCATCTGGTTAGTATAAAGTTATCTTATTAGGACTAGATACTCATTATTAGTCTGGAAATATTTTTCCAACTGTACAAAGTGAATTGCTGTGAATATTTGGATTTTCATTTACTGCTATTCTGGACTGCATTGTATTTGTTTGTTATATTTAGATTTTTCCTTTGGTTTTATTTCCTAGGTTGCACGTTTTCAAAAACTACCTAATGGTGAAAATGAGACAATGATTCCTGTATTGACATCAAAGAAAGCAAGTGAATTACCAGTCAGTGAAGTTGCAGGCATTCTCCAAGTAAGTGGTTGGTGGGGAAGAAGGGAGCAGAGAGTGTAAAATCACTTAGACTCTGTAAGTCAGGGCCATCCAGGAGAATTCCTGTCAGTGATGGAAATTCTGTTCTGTGCTATCCGAAATGTAGTCCTAAGTTAAAACATGGTATTATGACTTGAAATGTGTGTAATGTGCTGGAGAAAGTGAATTTAATTATAATTCATTTAGATAGCTGCATGTGGACGCTACCTGATTAGATAGTACAGCTCTAGCTTATTAGCATGACCAGGAATTATTATTTCTGGGTAAGCATTAGTGCATTGGGAAGATAATCAATTTAATTAGTAACATAAGTAGTATTAGGAGTTTATCTTTTTTTTTAAAACAAGGATTTTCCAAGGTAAAGTAAAAGCTCACTGTAAGTTCAGAGCTTCAAATACATTTTAATTATGTAATTTTCTCTCTTTTTAGTTTTAAAAAGTACAGTCTATTCAAACTTGAAGAAAAGAGTATTTTTACTTTTTTCTTTCAGACATTCACATATTTTTAAATGCTATCCATTTTTTGAGTTTGTGTATTTATATTTGGTTTTAAAACTGCTTGTTTTAAATATGTTTAAGTTTTAAAAGATGTGTTTATTGAACTCAATTATAAAGCCACTGGCTACGGAAGCTAGCTATTTGGGGGAATGCAGGTAATTTCATTTTTCTTTTTATAATAGTTAAAATAGAAAATCATGAGACAGTAATTGAAGGCTTTAGATGGTATATCACAAGAACAAGTTCATCTTAACTGCATTACTTTGAGTAAGTTAGAAATAGTTATATAATCCAGGAACTAAAAATTTACTAACCTCAGGGTTTTTAATATAGGCTCAAAGAACAAGTATGGCATTTATGTCCCACTGAATATTCTTTTGGAAAAACTAATTTTGGAAAACAACAATAATAAACCAAAGCTAATTAAAATATAGTGGTATTTTACTTACTCTTAGTATTGTGGCTGGTTTGTATTATTTTCCCCATAGAAAAACCTAAGTTTTGATAAACACTATCCTGTTGCTTATATTTAAAAACAAATCAATTTTATTAAGTTATAATTTACATAAAAGTGAATTGTATACATTTTGCATTTTGACAAGTGTAACCACCAGTATAATGAAGACATAAGACCATTTTTATCACTCCAAAAAGCTTCCTCATGTCCTATTGTATTTGTCAGTGGATGGCAGTTGCTGCTGTCATCCAACCACCAATAACCTTTCTGTCACTATTAGAACAGTTTTCAATGCTGTAAAGAAATGTGATCATATGCTGTGTACTCCTGTTTTTCTTCTTTTGTTCTGTGCTAACATTTTCAGTAACTTCTATATGTAAAATCTAATAGGCTGATCTTCAGAACGGTCTAAACAAATGTGAAGTTAGTCATAGGCGGGCCTTCCATGGCTGGAATGAGTTTGACATCAGTGAAGATGAGCCATTGTGGAAGAAGTATATTTCTCAGGTAAGATACTTCTGCTTCCTTCTCCACTGTGAGACCTCCATGGACTTTTACGCAGTTGCTTACTTTCATGAGGTTATTTATGTACGAAGGAAATAATTTTTGATAGTATTTTTCACCTAAAGGATTCCATTTGTTAGGGTTTACTATTATGTGAGAACTCCTGTAATTTTTAGTTTGTAACTCTTAAAGGGCAGTATTTTTTGTATAGTTCTGTGACACACAGGTGATAATATTAACAGTTGTTTTCTTTGTAGATACTGAGCTTACACTTTTTATTTTAATTAATTAATTTTGGTATGGGGTTTGAACTCAGGGCCTCAACATTTGCTAAGCAGGTGCTGTACCACTTGAGCCACTCCACCAGCCCTGTCTTGTCAGGGGTTTTTCCGAGATGGGGTTTTGTACACATTTGCCTGGGGCTGGCTGTGAACTTCAGGCCTCCTGATTTCTGCCTCCTGAGTTAATATGTTCTTTTTAGTAAAGAAAATTTCTGTGCTGTCTAACCTTCAGGTTCTTTTTTTTTTAACAAAAACTTCTGTTTAACTTTAAGGGCTTTGCATCCTAATGAGCCCAGTTATACCAATCTTCACTTTGCACATGAGTTTGTCTAAACTAGCAAAGCTGAAGTTTTAGGGATTAAAAGAATCGTGTATGTGTCTTGTTTTATGGAACATTTTTTGCTATGCATTATTATATCCTCACATTTACCACATGTCCTCCTTACCCAAAACTTCACAAAGTATTAACGTAGTTTACTCTGGTTTTGTAAACTGTAACTTGATTTATCACTAGGCAATATGATTTAATGTTTTTCTTTCTTGATCCTGTCCAATGCTAGAGTGCCTGCCTCTTGAGATTTCTGTAAGAATTAAATAGCTCTTATAGTGTAGTTAAGCAGAAGCTTAATGTTGGCTGTTCATCATAAAGCAACAGGTGACACTTTACCCTTCTCAGAGAGCACCAAGTTTGCTGTGTGAGCATCTTTCTGATGTTTCCCACCTATCAGGCATGCTTGATGAGTGCATGGACAGTTCTTTTAGGGGCTCCGCCTTCAAGGTGTGACGGTTAAGAGCCGACGTTTGACAAGGACTTTATGTTATGCACAATGCTTAATACACATTCTTACTCACTACATACTCCTTGATACAAGGTTCCATTTGACTCATGAAGAATCTGGGGCTTACAACAGTTATGTTGCCACCCAGGTGATAGGAGCATGAATCACACCTGGGTACTCTAAGTCATTCGGGTTGCAGTTTTATTTTGCTAAAGCAGTGAGTTGTCTTTCAATCCTTTACACACTAGGGTCCCTTGAAGAATGTTTAAAAGATGGTGAAGCCTGCACCCAGTGCCCAGAGATTCTGATTCAATTGGTCTGGTGAACCTGGGCATTGGTATTAGTTCTGAGTTTTTGTTTTTCACATGATTCTGCTGTGAATCAGAATGAGAACCACTGGGCCAGGGAATGGGGGAATAAAGAGGACAGGAGGCACTTAAACTTGGAGGTATGATGCCCGTGGCCAGGGCGCTCTAGGATGTTCAGCTGCAAGAATTTGGGATGCTTCTGGTTGTTGTCATTTAAATGCTGCCTGATTGGGCTGGTGGTATGGTCCTTTTTCTGTGGATATTATTTTCTTTGCCAGGTAGAGACCAGGAAAACCAGCCTCAGGACAATCTTCAGTTTCTTCTTTGGAAAAGATCTTAGTGTCTGTTCCTTGCTGTCTCTGGGGGTTATTCTGTTAGTGTGTGAATCAACCAAAAGTATAATCAACATTATTTTTCTTACTTGAGGAATGTTTGAATCCTATAATTTAGGTGCACTGACTCATGTTTAACCTGAATTTTTAGCTTAAAAACCATCTCTGCTCTTTCTAGCCCCAGAAGAAATTCAGAACAATTATATTAAATTAATATACTGCTACAAGATGGGTATAGTGGCCCACACCTGTAATTTTAGCACTGGGGAAGCTGAGGCAGGAGGATCTCAAGTTTCCGGACAGCCTGGGTTGAATAGTAAGATCTTGTTTCAGATAATAAACAAAAAACACAAAGTTAATATACTGCTTCAAATGCATATATCCTATAGAGAATTGGCAAGTTCTTTGTAGAAAATATTGATATCTAAATTTCTTTTTGTGAAAAGGAACTGTTACAATTTTAAACCTAGTAGACCATAGACCTTCCATTCCATTTCTTTCCTGTTTTTTTGGTTACTTGAAAAGGTAATATAAAATAAACCAAATGTATACCCTCATAATTTTCTATTTATGGCCCTGTGGGTTTTTTTTTTAAATGCCTTTGTTGAAGTAGAACTGAATTTTCGTTCGTAAAAAGGTGTTGAATTGATGTTTGTTTTTACTTTCAGTTTAAAAACCCGCTTATTATGCTGCTCCTGGCTTCTGCAGTCATCAGTGTTTTAATGCATCAGTTTGATGATGCCGTCAGTATCACTGTGGTAAGAGAAAGTAGATAAATATATTCTAATCTGTTTATTAATTGTGTAAATTGGAATTGGTTTTTACTTTGGAAAATGAGTTTAGAAATGCTTTCAGGTTTTTTTGGTTAATATCCCAAATCTACTTTTAGTTGTAGTAACCTTTTGTAAACTTTATTTTTTTGGTGGGACTGCAGTTTGAAATAAGGGCTTTACATTTGCAAAACAGGTGCTCTGTTGCTCGAGCCACAACTCCAGTCCATTTTGCTCTGGTTATTTTGGAAATGGGTCTTGTGAATTGTTTCCTCAGGCTGGCCTCTAACCTTGATCCTTCTGATCTCAGCCACCAAAATAGCTAGGATTACAGGTATGAGCCACTAGAGCCTGGCTTGTTTGGTTTTTCAGCTAGAGGTCTCACTTTGTTGCCAAGGGTGATCTTGAACTCCTGAGCTCAAATAATCATCCCACCTCTGCCTCCCCAGTAGCTGGGACTGCAGGCATGTCTACTGCACCTAGCAATTGTAATTATCTTGAGTAACATTCAAAGGCAGTGGTGCCAACCATGAAAATGATTTAACAATCTGATAATATCACAGATATGAAATGCAATGATTTTTTTAAGTTTAATTTAAATTTTCCTTTGCTTTCCAATTGATTTGACTAATTATGAACTAAAACCTGACCTATAAAATTAAAAATATTCTTAACATTGTGTTTACTATGTATAATTTTATTCTTTTGATGGAATGTTTTTTCTTGTTCCATGTTTGCTTGTAGCAAAAAAACTTACAGCAAGTATAGCCATTCATTAAAGCTAGTATATTTTGCTGAAGAACACAACACATACTAATGTGGAGCTGCAGTTTTTGAACTATTGGTTGTGTATACCCAGGAGTCCGTGAATGTATACAAGGCCAAAACTATTTTAATAATACTGAGTCATTATTTTCTTTATACTTAGGGTTTTGTATCAATGGCACGAAAGTAATGGTGTTTAAAACTGGTAGAGCCTTAGCACAAATCAAAGTAATGGTTGCAAATTGTATTAATAGTCATTGTTTTCATTCATTGTTTCAGAATGTTTTAGTTGCTGGGTATGATGGCATACACTAGTAAGCCCAGCTACTTGGGAGGTGAAAGCAGGAGGATGGCAAGTTTGAGGCCAGTCTAGGCAATGTAGTGAAACCCAGTCTTACACACACAAAAAAGTTCTTGATAGAGCAGTCAGAATTAGTTTTATTAATCTTGACCCTTGAGTGCATGCCTTTTTAATAATCTCTGAGGAAATGAAAAGCGTGTGTAAAACACATTTGTATCTTGAGGGTGATTGTTGTGAGGTGAACTGTCCTTTTATTCGAAAGAATAATGCTGCTAATGATAAAATTCAGGCTTTTAAGCAATAATTAGAGTTCTGATAAATTTATAAATAACCGCCATGAACTCTTGAAAGCTTCCCAGTGTTTATTCTAATGAGATCAGTAGTGAGTTCAATAGATGTGATTTTTAAAATTTTTTAGCTTATGAAATGTGTCAGCATTTAGAAAATTTGAATGATCAAGTGAACCAGTGTTTTGTAAATGATCAGTGTATGTCAGTGGTAAAAGATAAATTCAAAACCAGGCCCTGGGAGCTCATGCCTATAATCCTAGCTTCTTGAGGGGCTGAAATGAGGAGGATCAGGGTCCCAGGTTAGCCCAGGCAAATAGTTCACAAGACCCACCTCCAAAAAAACCAGACCAAAGGACGGGAGGTGTGGCTCAAGTGACAGAATGCCTACTTTGCAAGCATGAAGCTCTGGGTTCAAACCCTAGTTCCACAAAAAAAAAAAAGAAAGATTCAAAATACAAGGTAAATCAGTAGATTTTAATATAGCAGATTTGAAAAGTTCATTGACCTAGTAGCTTCTTTCATTGCACATTACCTTTAAGAGACTAGCACTTGTTGAGTTTTAGTGTACTAGCTAAGAACATTCACAGGCATCTGAAAAAGCCATTAAAATATTCCTCCCTTTTCTGTTTTCTATCTGAGGCTTGATTTTGTTCATAATCCAGTTTCAAAATCTTGTTATGCTATTTTTGCCTGAACAACATATTACAGTAGATTGAATACCAGCTTTCTATTTGGGTTGGAATATAGGTCAGTGCTAGAGCCCTGGCCTAACATGCACTAGGCTCAGAGTTTGATAACCTAACACTGAAAAACAAAAATCATCTTTCTTTCTCTCAAATATTTTTCAGAAAAAAGTCATTCATGTTAACATAATGGACTTTTAATTTTTTAGACAAATTAAGTAGAAATTTAAAGTGAGTAGTTGTAAAAGTAATTGAAGTAGTTTATATTAGCTGTAACCTACATAAACAAAAACTAGTCCTCAATTTGTAAGAGAGTAGACAGGTTCCAATATGAAAACGTCTGAAAATCTGTCATGGGGGTGGCAAGTCACGTCAACTATCAGATTGTTCCCCCCATGGGCCTCAAGGAAAAGTTGTGATTTTTTTTGTCCAGCTCATCTCAGTCTTTGAAATCTGTTATTTTGGGACTGCATGAAGTTGGAAAAATAAAATATTATTTCTCAATGTCTGATTTAAAAAGCTGTTTCTTTGTTTTGTTTAGGCAATTCTTATTGTTGTTACTGTTGCCTTTGTTCAGGTGAGTAAGTGATCTATTTTTGCCAATGTAAAAATGGTATGTTAATTATGGAAAAAAATTAGAGTGGTTCATGAAAAAAGCCTGTATTTATTATGGAGAGGTTCATGCCCCTCCTAACAATTTATTCTTTGTTTTTGAAATAATTTCAGATACAGTCAACTGTCGAGGGAAGTTTGTGAGACTAAGGGACTGCTTTGATCTAGGTAGTGAGATGAATGAAAATCTAGTTTTATATTTGGCAGTCTTAATAACTGAAGCAGATGAAACAAATAAGCACAGTAATAGAAATACACTCCAGCATAAGCTTCTTTATTATTCCAGTTAAAAAATTGGGCCAGACCTTACAATTTTAGAATACTTTCATGTTTTAATACCTGTTAGAACAAAGTCTACATGAAACAAAAAAAGTGTAGCATTAAATAGGCCTTTTCTGTGACTGATTCCCTTAGCAAAATGGTATACTTGTGCACTGAATTTATTTCCTAACCTTAATTTTATTGTCTTTTTTTGATAATTCAAATGCTTCTGATGACTGTTGGGGTGATCCCCACCTCCCGTTTTAAAAAAATTCCTTATACTTCCACAGAAGGGATAGTCTTACCTGAATCAAGCTTCTTATTCAGCATACCATTGAAACAGCAAAAGAAGCATATGATAAGGAGCCGCTTTAAAAAATTACTCTAGGGCTGGGGCATGGCTCAAGTGGTAGAATGCCTGCCTAACAAGTGAGAGGCCCTGAGTTCAAACTCCACCAGAAAAAAACCATTCCAAGTGATGTAGAGATGGTGTGAGGATTTTTCTTAAACAACTGCAGGCATAAATAAAACAGGCTTAGTGTATGTTTATTTAAATATTTGATAACTTGTATTGATTTTAGAAAATTGTTTCAGAATATTAGCAGGTCTCATTTTTAGCATGGTTATAAGAATAGAAGAATTATAGTATAGGGAAAAATGTAATGCTGTCATATGGTCCTGAAGTTTTTGCTGTTTTGATCCTTAAGACTGTACTGTGAATGTTTATGATTATCCTAACATCAAAAATTTATTTCCCTGGTTATTTGTTGTCACTATGTGGGTAATCTTAAGGTAATTGCTAAAACTAGTAACTCAGTGTATAAAGCCAGTTGTTATCAGAGTATTTGGAAGTATGTGAGCTCCATTAGTATGCCATCAAGGTTCCTATTTGGGGGTTGAGGGGTAGAGGAGACCTTCTTGCTTAGAACAGAGGAATGTTGACCTTGGGTAGCTGGAACTGGTTAATCTAGTATGGGTTATTCCAGGCCGAGCATCATTCAGGTCAGTTACTCATTTAGCCAAGTGAGTGGTATGACCCACTGGAGCCATTTTCTCTCCTTTCCTCCTTCCTCGAAAGACCCCATAGAATTGGCAGTTTTTACATAAGCGAGTATGGGGTGTTAAACAGAAGTAGTGTTACATACTTTAAATGCAGTGGCTGCTGAGCATGTCTGTGGTACTTTCATTTGATGGGAAACTCAAAGAAGGACCAAAACATTATGAAAAACCCAGTTTCTAATTGCTAGGTTGGGTATTTTAGACAGATGCTATCTTTCCCCAAATGTACCTATGTAACCAACAGAATATTCCATAAACAGAAATTCTATCTTGAGAAAGATTCTATTTACTGTCAGTTGGACCTACTATGTTTTGACAGAAAACTCCTTATCAAAAATATATAAAAATCTTAATGTTTTATCATTTGGTATCTTTGTCTAGACTTTAGAAGAGGGATTTTATATTCCTTTTACATTTTCACCTGCCTTTTCTCCACATCATTTTCTAATCTCATTCCCCCTACCTTTTTACCCCTGCCCAGCCATATAAATAGATAATTGTTTTGTGTAGTTATATAATATCTTTACAGTAACTTTGAAAAAGTAAGTAAAGACTTGAAGTTTCTGTGCAATTTATGACTGGTATGTAGGCTGGTGAGTTTCCTGACTTTATATAGATTTTTTTAATAAACTTTGAAATTCTTTGCTGTCTTTGGTATATTTACATAGACACCTTAGAATTTTTACATGTGTAGAAATTTCTTACATTTGTCCTTGTCTAATTAGAGACTGGTTTAGTTCTAAGATACTATTTATACAGATTTTCCTGTTCATTTGAAGTAGTTTGCAATGTGTGTGAAGTGCATTTGTTTCAAAACATTCCTCACTTTTCACTCTACTTTTAATCTTAGATCCCTCTCCCTTTTAACCTTTGATCAAAACATCGGGGTACTTAGTGCAGACAGGAGGCAAAGGTAGCAGTGATGTCACATGAAGTGAAACCACTAATGGAAACATAGACTAAACATTGTACAGTGATAGAGCTGTGACTCTTGGCTATTGGTTATGTGGATGGAAAAAAGTCTGGAGCATCACAGGCTTAGGGCTCCTGAGAATTTTTCCCTTTCATATAATGCAGGTTGATGGGAAGAGTGTCTGTCCATGTAGGGTCAGCCACAGCTTATTAATTTTGTGTTCTTTCTAAGCAAATTTATTCCACAAACCATTGCAGTTAGTAGGGGCTTAAATCTCAAAGCAGATGTTATTTATAGATTATTGTCTTTGACTTTGTTGGTTATTGAACAACAACTAATGTAAAGTTATGATAATTATAAGGCTCAATTATTTTTTAACTTTTAATGACTCAAATTATATAATCTTGGTCAGATGTGGTGGCACATGTCCAGATATGGGGGAGGTAGAGATAGAAATGTGGTTTGAGGCCAGTGCAGGTGAAAAATTTAGCAAGGTCCTACCTAAAAAAAAGAAGCTGAGAGTTGTGGTTACATATCTGTAATTCCATCTACTTGGAAGGTGGAGGTAGGAGTATGTAGTCTGAGGCTGGCCCCAGGCAAAAGTGGGAGACCTGTCTGAAAGATAAACTAAGCAAAAATGATTGGAAGCATTGCTCAAGTGGTAAGGCCTAGAGTTCAAACCCTAGTACTTTCCACCCCTGCTCTGAATCATACACTTTTTGGACACACTGATCAGTTTTCATATTCTAAAAAACCTTAGGTTTACATATTGAATATTAAAATGTAAAACTGGGATATTTCATTGTCAGAACTGCTTGATTGCTATAATGTTTGATTGCTATAATTTAATCTTTTAAAATTAGGGACTGGTTTTTCGTTTTTTGGTGGCACTGGGTTTGAGCTCAGCGCTTTGTACTTGAAAAGAAGGTGCTCTCCTGTTTGAGCCACACCTCCAGTCCATTTTGCGCTTATTATTTTGAAGATGGGGGTCTCAACGAACTAGCCTTCTGGGGCTGACTTTGAACTGCTATTCTCCTGTTCTCATCCCCTCAAATAGCTAGGATTACAGGTATGAGCCACTGGTGTCTGCCTTAGTCACAAGTTTCTTTTAAAGTGTGATGGTTTTTGCAAAACACCTCATTTTACTCATGTTACAAAAGTAATAAGTGATACATTACTACAGAAAAACATACAGCTTAGCTTATAGCTCATCCTTTAAAACCAGAATAGCCACATGAAAAGTCAGTAGTTTCTTACTATTTTTACTTTAAAAAATAAAGTCAAAAGTACTCATTAGGAATTAAACTATTTTTTTTCCTCTTTGTAGAGATGTGACATACATATTTTCTGGTTGGTCACAGGCTGTCAACCATTGTACTAAACCAGAGCTGACAGGGACCTTCCTGTTTCCCATACTCATGTGGAGCTAGACAATTGAGCACCATCATGGCAGGGGAGATCTTGACATGAAGAAGAAGTTGCAGAGTCCCTGCCTGCTACAACAGAAAGCCCAACAAATTGGCTTATGCAGAACAGATTTTAAGCAGTCATGTACATACACACTTATAATGTAGTGACTGGCTAACTTGTAGTCAGTTTTTACCACACATGTTCACTGGTGCCCAGTATAAGTGCTTCAATATAGAAAGCACTTTTGCCTTCTTAACACTAACAGCTAAAAAGCACACAGCATATAATACTTTGATCTTTAAGTGAGTAATCATGGAAGTTCCAAGATCATATCCACTAGATTAGCCTGAGTTTTCATCTGTAAAAATAATTTTTTTAAAATAACGGTTTAAAGAAATTTCTAGAAACAGTGGGACTAAATCAGAACCAGCAGAAGATAGCATTACAAGACTGCAAATATAAGATTAAGAATTGATCTTCACATGTAGCTTTTTGGTAAAAGACATGTCTTAGTTGATTCCTACAGCAAGGATAAGCTGCAATTATAGGAGATTCAGAAATCTTAGGACAGGCAGCTAGCTCAAGTTAACTCTTGAGTAATACTCCCAAATGGAAGCCCCACTGATACTGAAGGACTGAACCATGTAAAAAAGCTGTGAGTACCCAAGACTCATGCAAAGCCTCCTGTTTCAAAGTGCTCATGATGGTAGGTTATTCTACACTGTTGACACACCTTCATGTTTACTGGGGAAGGGCCTCTAGGTGGAATGACTGACATGGACTTACTGCAGAAGAGTTTGACCTGAGAGAGGTGCCAACCTGGGAAGGGAGCAGAGGAGCACTAGGGGTATGGAATACAGGAAGGTGTTTCAGGTGAAATGGGTCCACGAAGGTCAGGTCATATTGTTAGTGACCCATCAGTACTCAGCCTGAGTAAAGGGTTGAATTACAGTCGGTCTTTCCAGGATGCATGCTTCTGTCATAGCTGAAGTCTCTAGCCTACTGGGCCAGTGACATCCAGAATGACCTCGTCCACTATTTGGAGGTAGGACCTAGTGCTGCAGATTATCTTGGAAGCTGATATAGAAGATAATTTGCACATGGAAGTCACAACTAAGCCACTGCTTAAATCCAGTCCCCAGCCTTCCTTTTCTGCTCTATAGTGTAGAAATATTTCTTTAAAAGCCAGAAAGTTCATAAATGTGAGCACCACAATGACTATATTTCCAGCCACTTCCTCTTTATGTAATGTTGTGAAAGTGGCCATGTTAAATCTGCTCCAGCAGCTCTTCTCAATACTTCTCTACCAGAGAAACGTACTTGTTAAAAATGGCTGTGTAGGTGAGATTATTCTCTTCTCTGTCTTCAAACTCCTGGTGGCACTTGTCCATGAAATTGCTTTTTAATAATTGGCACTTGACATCCATGATAATGTCTTCTAAACATCCAACTGCAGCATCACATTCTGGTCAGAGGCAGAAGAGAAGGATGGCATGAAGCTGTCTTGCATCCATATGCATGGGCAAGAGCCTGTTGCCTCCTAGGCCGAAAGGGATGTTTTTATGGGTTGACATAATGATTGAGATTAATATTTAAGTCTGAATAGAATATGTTCATAGGAACATGCATATTTGGAATTCTTTGTAAGTACTTTTTGTTAACATGAAATTCTGGTTTTTTTTAAATAGGAATATCGTTCAGAAAAATCTCTTGAAGAACTGAGTAAACTTGTGCCACCAGAATGCCATTGGTATGACCCTTTCTTCCGAAAGAGATCTCTACCCCTTTAAAATAGAAAAGCTGAGTGTGACTGGTATAGTAAGCATTGTGGCCCAGCTTTGCCTCAAGATAAGGAAGAGTATTAATCTGACATGAAAAATTTCTATTTTTATCAATGTAGCAAACATTTCACTATTAGAGCTTAGAAATTCTAATATTGAAATTTTGTGATAGCTTTATTGAACAGGTATTGTGTGTGTGTGTGTGTGTGTGTGTGTGTGTATACACTCTGAGCACTGTACTGACTGGAGTGATGAAATCCATAGTGAGATTGAACCCACAAGGTTAGGCAATTGCTTTACTTTTCATAACTTACACTTAAACAATTGGTTTTTCCAATGAATTTTCTGTCATCTGAGCATCTATTAAGAGTGTAGAAACAGTCCTTATCTTAGTTCTTTTATTTGGATTATCTTTTTGGAAGTGGTAATGTTAATGTTTTCCTCAAGCAACACCACTGGAAATGATTTTTTCAGATGAATAGCATGGCTTGCTTTCTTTGACTGTGGTTATTCACATTACAGTGTGCGTGAAGGAAAATTAGAGCATACGCTTGCCCGAGACTTGGTACCAGGTGATACGGTTTGCCTTTCTGTAGGGGACAGAGTTCCTGCTGACTTACGCTTGTTTGAGGTAAGTTTGAGGATATCTTTGTAATATGTGTAAATACTGTGTACAGTGCATGTAAATGGAAAAATGATACCCGTTGAAGCTATCCCAGGAATGTGGGGAGGGATAAAGGAAAATGGTGGAGGGGGTGAATTCAAGTATGATTGATATATTGTAAGAGCTTTTGTAAATGCCACAATGTACCCCCACCTGGCTGAACAATAAAAAAAAAGTGAAATTTCTTGAATCTCAATTATAGGATAGGCAGTTTTAAGGATTAATGTATAGAAGATATGAAACATTTGGTATTCTAATTTAAGTAGTGACAGATATAAACTTCTCATTCTTATATCTGTCTCTGCCATAAACTTTTTTGAAGTATCCATTAGTGAATCAGATCTTTGTAGAAACCTGTTTGTTAGGTCATGTAGGAGACAATTCTAGTGATTAGGCTGCATACTGTTAAGTGTACATAAATCACTTGCCATAAAATAAGACAGAACTCAGTAATTAGAAAAGTTCAAAGATTAGGGTATGAAAACTTAGAGAAGGGAGAGGTTACTTCTGATAGGTTGAGATCAGAGAATGCCTAGACAACATGGCTTTGGCAGTATTAACTAAAAAAGTAGTATGGAATGAGACAAGCAAGTCAGTGAAGCAACGGGATTGAGATCCCTGAGCATTGCAGCCCTGATGCTTCCTGACTTGACGATGGAGTTATGTCTCGAGAAGTCCACTGTGATTTGAAACAGTGTACTCACTGTACCTAACTTGGAGTCGTAGTTTGAGGAAGCAGCATGCTGTGGAGTGTTTGTGTTTTACTCTCGTGTTTACTCTTGATTGTGTGGCTGGCCAGGAGAGCTGGCTACTGCTGTTGCCCATGGTCATAAGAGAACCACATATCGCAAGTCAGAATTCAAAAGTTGAAATAGGGTTTCAGTGGGAAGGTCAAAACTCAAAAATTGAAGTTTGGTATCATTTTTGCTTTCTCACTGTGATGCAGTATTGCATCCCAACTGTAAGATATGTAGGAATCATCTGAGTTTTGTTAGGGCAGATCTGGGATGGGGTTTGAGAGTTTGCATACCAGACCAGCTCATGACAAAAGTGCTGCTCTGTCTTCCACATTTTTTTTTTAACCTGCTTTATTGAGAGAGTTCACATATTTAAAATGTACCATTTAGTGGTTTACATTATATCCAGGGTGTGTACCCAACTAACTGTACCACAGTCTAGCTGCAGAACATCTTCATCACTCCCCAAAGAGAACCCTTTTAGCTTCGCTTTATGTTTTCCTTACCTTTGGCAGCCACTAATCTGTTTGCTACTAAAACATACTTGCCTGTTCTGGACATTTCATATAAATGAAATGACACAGTATGGAGGTTTTTGTGTCTTGCTTCTTTCACAATATGTTTTCAGATACTTCTTCATTTAAGTACTTGATTGCTTTTTATTGCCAAATAATTTTCTGCCATGGATATACAAACAGGAATTTCTGTTTACATTTAAAGTGATTGCTAGTAGGGAAGGGCCTCTTCTGTTTTGTTGTTTTTTGTTTGTTACAGTTGTCCCCTCTTACCTGTGGAGGATCTGTTCTTAGATCCCTAGTGGATTTCTGAAACCAGACATCAGTGGTACTGAACCCTGTATGTGTTGAGTTATATTTTTGTATATGTATGTTCCAGATGTCATGCCTTTTTCATCTTAATTAAGCTCTGTCACATACTGTGGCTTTATTAACTTTTGCAGTTTTAGGCATGGCAGCAAAGCTAGCATGAATTTCTTTTTCTTCCTCAGTTTCATAGATGGAAGCTTTGTTGTTACCATAGATCTTAGCAGTCTAAGCATATAGTTTTTTTACTTCCTTGAGTGAGGAATTTTCACTTAAAGGAGTCACTTTTATGACTTCTTTTTGTGCTTTGGGGTCATTATTAAGTAAGGGTTACGTGAACACAAGCCCTGATATTGAGACAACTGAATTGATAACTGAGTTAACTAAGTGACTAATAAGAGGGTCATGTACACAGTGTACATGACAGAGGGATGGTTCTCATCCTGGGTGAGATAGAGGGGGAAAGAGGAAGATTTTATCATGCTACTTAAGGCATCCAATTCAAAACTTAGAAATTGTTTTTTTCATGAAATTTTCCACTTATTAATACTTTTGGACCATTGTTGACCGAAGGTAACTGAAACCTCAAAAACAAAACTTCAGATAAGGGAGGGTGGTATTGGTGGTATTGCTTTTTTTTTTTTTTTAATATTCTTCAGTTCTTCCTATCTACACTCATGTGTTTGATTGATTTCCTTCTTAAATGTATCTATTTTTTAAATTTATTCGTCTTTGCATACATTGTTTGTACCTATTTAATGACATAAAAATTTTGTTTGTATATAGCCCAATTCTCCCTTACCTTTGTCATGTTACAAATGGCATCTTTATACCTTGTGTGCCCATTAATGTAGATTTATTACTATTTTATGCATTTATCTTTTTAATCATGTAGGAAGCAAAAAAAGGAGTCACTCAAAATACAATAATCCTGTTTTTTGTAATTTATCTACATAATTATCTTTACCTGCAGTTCTTCATTTGGTTTGAGTTACTTTATGTTCTCCTTTCGTTTCAGTCTGAAGAACTCTTGACTTTTCCTGAGAGTAGGATTTACTAGTGATGAATTCTCTTAACTTATGTTTGTTTAGGGAGTTCTTAATCCTTTGTTTTTGAAGGGTGGTGTTCCTAGGTATAAAGTTCTCTTTTGATAACTTTTTTCTTCTTCTGCTTCTATGCTTTGTGATTTCTGATAAGTGAACTGTTCAGTTTCTTGAGAATCTCTTTCATGTGATGAAAGATGTTTCTCTCTTACTGCTTTCAGGGCTCCGTGTTTTTTAATAGTTTGATTCTAATGTGTCTCAGTGGGTCTTTGGGTTAACTCTATTTGAAGATTGTGGAGTATCTTGGTTGTATGGATTCATGTCTTTCGTCAGCTTTGGACAGTTTTCAGCCATTATGTCTTCAGGTATTCTTCCTGTCCCTTTCTCTTTTTCTTGTGGAGCTCCTGTAACATGCATGTTGTCATGTTTGGTAGTGTCCCACAGGTCCCTTGGACTCTCTTCTGCCCTTTAGAATGGTGACAGTTAATTGTTTTCCAGGTTGCTTTTTTTTTTTCTTTCCTCCTGTTGAACCTGTCTGATGAACTTTTTAGTTATTGTTCTCAGATCCTCGATTTCTGCATTTTTTAAAAAAACTTCTTTTATTTTTGCTTTTTTCCATTGCTGAGCATTGAACCTAGGGCCTATGCATGCTAGTCAATTACTCAGTTACATAGCTATACCCAAGCCCCAGCTCTTGGATTTCTAATTGTTTCCTTTTAATATTTTCACTAATGGACTGGCTCAAGTGGTAGAGTACCTACCTAGCAAGTGTGAGGCCCTAAGTTTGAATCCCAGTACCGCCAAAAGAAATCCTTTTAATATTTTCTATTGATATTCTCTATTTGTTCATAATTTCCTTTGGTTCTTTCTGCATATTTAATACAGTTGACTTAGTCTTTTTCTTGTAAGCCTGATTTCTAGACTTCTTCAGGGATGGTTTCTTTCGATTTATTTTTTCCTGTGAATAGGCCATTTTTCCTAATTCTTATTCTGTGGGATGGCATACATTCTTCTCTTTGAGAGATGTTAGACAGTCTGCAGGTAAACAAAAATGCCACTGTGCTTTCTTACCAGAATTTGGGGGCCTTTTTCTTCATTCAGCACTTCTCTGGTTATTTTAAATTTTTGACTTCAGAGTTCATTCTGTCAGTTTTGCCAGCTTATGATTATTTTAGTGGAGAAACAAGTCTTTGAGTACCCTGCTCTGCCATTTCCTGTTGAGTCATTCTTGAGTTACAAGTTCATATTGATTTCAATATGATGTACTTTAGTAGGGAAATTAGGTAAATGATTTGTGGTATACTGCTATGCCTCTCTGTGATTTATTACCACATATTTGCTTTTAATAGTTTTCTGAACTATTCAACTTATATATATACTTGTAAAAAAGAATCTCAACATCTTAAGAAGTAGAGATTTAAAATTAGCTGTTCAAAGAAATTGAGTAGAATCTTGGAGAAGATCTATGGAGACATTTTTATTCACCAAAAATTGTTTGATGTAATCATATGTGTTCGACTTGGGAAAAAATGTCTATTTCTGAAAAAGATATCATTATATACCTCAGAAATCCACTCCAGATACGTAGAACACTGGGAGTGTTTTCATATTGTATGAGCTATAGCTGCTTAATGTTTTGTTATTGGAGCTTTATAGTTCAGCTGATTAAAAGTGTGAACTGAGCTTGGCATGGTGGAAAATGTGTATAATTCCAGCATTTGGGAGGCTGGGCAGGAGGATCTTGAGTTTGAGGCCAATTTGGGATACATGGCAAGACCTTGTCTCAACACTGTCCCTGCCTCCCCCCAACGCTACTCACTGGAACTTCTGACCAGAAAGGACCTTTTTTCCTCACTAAAGCAGCAGAATTCAAAGACAATACATGCTGAGGAACAGCTTGACTGAGGTGTAATTTTCTTTTCTCTAGAAGATTCTCTTTCTTGATACAAAAAGATCATTGCAAAAATAGATCCCTTTTTGCAATTTGGTTTGATAGTCGTAGTGAAATATGCTAGAAATTCTTGTTAACCAAGTAGCCTTTAAATTTTGGGCATCTTGGTCAAGTTTAATCTGTGCACTTTGGCCAGAAAGTTAGCAGTTCATGGAAAGCCTTTACTGTGGGATAAAAACAATTTTATGTATTATTTAAAATAATGCCAGCACTTGATTGGCTGGACTTTTGAGTGTTAATAAGTTAGAGCTTATGAAAAAATTTTTAATTATGTTTTCCTTCGTCAGAGTAGACGGAAGAATCTTACTTTTTGAGAGCAGAGTAGGAAGTTTTTATCAAGGTCAGGCAATTCCATACAAGTATTTTGAAAGGTCGTCTTCCAGGGAAAGAAATTCATTTCTAATTTGTTTTTAAATGATTTCCTTTAATTATGGTCTAGAGAGGACTGTAGCAGCAGGATTCTGTGTAACTATTCTTTAGTTTAAGAATTTATTTCTAGCTGCCATTTGTCCCATATTAACCTTAGAGTTTTTATTAGCATATAATAGTTGTCCTTGGGGATATATTGTGACATTTACATATGTGCTTACTGTATATCTTTATTAGATTCATCCTCTCTGCCTTTCTTAGAACAATTTCAACAGGTTTCATTGTTCTGTTTTCATACAGGAATGCAAAACACATCCACCATATACCCCAATCTTAGATGTTGTCCTTCTCCTTTTGCCCTCCCCCCCCTCACTGATACCCACCTCCAGACAGAACCTGTTCTATCTTCTTGTCCTTCATTCTTTTAAGCTAACCTTAGTTTTTTATGTAGTCACTTTCTGCCTTTCAGGGAAACTTTGTGACTGGCATTTGCTTGCTTTCTGCCTAAGGTCTTAATGGTAATAATAATCTTGTAAACTTTCTAATTCTTTTTATCAGGTGGGTGGTAAATCTTCAGTTTGTGGATTATATATGTGTCCTGTCACTATATTCTGATTTTAGAACTGTATTGTATCTTACTCACACTTCAACCAAGATGCCTGAAGAAGAGTGAAAGTAAAATCAGTTTCCCTATTCATAAACAGCTCTTCTGAAAGTTTAATGCTTAAACTTTTGGGGCTGCTTGGTTCTTTGATTTCATTTTGTCTTTCCCTCTCATGGATGCAATGGATAAACGACTTTAGTATATTCTCAGATGAATTAAATTGTGATTTTGTTAAGCTCTAATAGGCTTGCCTAATTTACTAAATAGCCACTCTTGTTAGAAATGACAACCTTCCTCCCTCTTTTCCCAAAAACTGCTTCTTGTGAAAAATTTTATAAGTACTGTTAAGAGAAAATAACTTGTAACTTAAGAATATTTTTGTTCTACAGACAGTTGATCTTTGCAGTTTGGGCCATTATATAATTTAGACAAATTTCATTACTTACATGTTTTTGATAATTGAGTTTAGTTACAATTTTTTAATTATACAGAAAAAATCAGCAAGAGTCCCAAACCCCTATTTTCTGTTATATTAGCTTATCTTTTACACTAGACAAGGCTGACTGCTGTTGTGCTATAAATGGTCTGCCTCTTTTCTGTAGAATAGCCTGCTTTAACTAAAAATTCTCTAATATTGCTCCTGGTTTATTATGGCTAAAAACTGTAGAGCTAGGCCACTGATTTCAGCCAAGTTTGACATAAAATGCATCATATTGCCCTTGTAGCTAAACTTTTGGGAAATGCTGACACAATTTATCTTTTTGTAGTTATATGATATAATTGATTTTCATGCTGAATGATTTAAAACATAATGATCTATTCTTGTAGATCTTAAATATCTCTGCAAAATTCTATGTTTACCTAGTGTTCTGGCCCCAAGGTCTTTGTACTTTTTGCTCCCTTTGCCTGACATCCTTTCTTCCTGATCCTGGCTGAGTCTTGGAGCACTCCAGTCTATCAGGGCTCAGCAGAAGGATTACTTGTTTTTGAGCAAAGCTGTCTTTCTCCTATCTAAAATGTTGCCTTGTCCATATTATGTTTGTTTCTTCTGCTATCTGGTATAGTATATTATATGTGCTTATTTAATTTCAGAGTCACTGAATAATTGCTTAGGGCAGGAACTTCGTTTTGTTCACGAGATTATTAAGTTTTTAATATTAATAAATAAATGAATTTTTTATTATTACATTTCTATATACGCATATAATGAACTTTGATCTTACTCATCCCTCATCACTGTCTCTTTTTCCCCTCTTCCCTCAAATAGCCCTCAATTAGGTTTTGTCTTTTTGCTTATTCATATTTATGGATCTAGACTCTATATTATGAAAGAAAACATGCTGTGTTTGTCTTTATGAGTCTGGCTTATTTCGCCTAGCATCATGATCTCAAGTTCTATCCATATTTCTTCAAATGACATAACTTCATTCTTCATGATTGAATAATACCCCATTGTGTATTTATACCACCTTTTCTTTATCTATTCATCTGCTAATGGACACCTAGGCTGATTCCATAGCTTGGCTATTGTGAATAGTGCTGCTCTAAATAGGATGTCCAGTTATCTCTATTGTATGCTGGCTTACATTCCTTCAAATGTATGTCCAGGAGTGCTACAGCAAGATCATGGGGTAGTTCTAGTTTTAGTTTTTTAAGGCACTTCCATAGTGCTTTCCATAGTGGTTGCACTAATTTACCTATTAGCAGTTTGTAAAGAAGTGAACTGTTTTAAAAGATGTGATTGAGCTCAGTGGGTAAAGTACTTGCCTAGTAGTAGGCCCTGGGTTTGATTCCCAGCACTACAAAAATAAATAAGTAAATATAATAAAATGATACAATTTATTAGCCATTGGGTCTTGGTGGTAGGGCTAGCCAACTGCCGTCTCTTTTCCAAAAAAAAAAAAAAAAAAAAAAGTAAAATGTGAAATTCAGAGTATTAAGTTGCTGGAATGAGAATACTTAGTGAGATGGCCCGGTAATTTTAACTTCTGTAGATTCCTTATTTTCTAGGGCGTAGCCTAGTGTCTGGCACATTATTAAGGTAGTAAATGAGTGTTTGCCAGGTAAAAGAGCCCGCAAAATAATTAAAATCATGAGTTAGTGTTCAGTTTTCCAAAAAGTGTTCTTAAGATCTTTGAATAAGAGCTTCTGGAATTAAATGAATCAAGGGAGTTTGAGAAACTTGATTCTTAACCATGGGTGTGCAACAGAATCACCTGGAGGGCTTGTAATAGTCTGTTAGATTTACTTTAGTTTGCGGTTGGGTAGAGGACTCCTTTTTTTTATTATTGTTGCAGTACTGGGGTTTGAACTCAGTGGGTTAAGCCATCCCACCAGCCCTTTTTAGTGATAGTTTCTTTTGAGATAGGGTCTCGAGAACTATGTGGCCGGGTTGGCTTTGAACCACGAGCCTCCTGATCTCTACCTCCTGAGTAGCTAGGTTTACAGACGTGAGCCACCACCGCCTGACTCCAGTTGGTCATCTTTAACATAACATGCAGTGTTTATGAATGTCTTTGAGAAATACTCTTCTGTGTGCTATACTTTTGGAAACAGCCAGCTCTCATCTGTAGCATTTTCCACACACAAAATGATAACGATACATGATAATGTGTTGGTATTGAGAATGAACCCCTCAGAATCAAACCCTGTTTCAGAGTCAGAAGATACTATGATAGTCTCTGCATGGACTGTTGCAAACTTTAATTTGGAATAAATATGGGATGTATAGCAAGAATTTTATGAAAATTGAGTCAAATATGAAATGATTGTCTCAGTATCTCTTGTTTCCTTTTATCTATCTATCTATCTATCTATCTATCTATCTATCTATCTATCTATCTATCTATCAATCTATTGATCTAGCTATCTATCTTTGTCACAGGTAGTTTGAATCTGCCAGATACATTTCCAGAATGTTAGGGGCATGACAAAACTAGGAAACACTGTTTGGTTATATAAGTTGGGTTTTCTTTAGGTGGAGTCTCAGCTAGTACCTCCATTTCCCTAGTTGTATTTTGAATTTTACTCTTAGTCTTATGGTAGAACATTGTACTTTGCATGTCTCAGATTTGGTTGAGTTCACTTAAAAAATATGATCGTGCTGATTCTGGTCTTTGCCTGAGAGTAATGGCTATAATGCAAAATATAGTTAATTAACTAGGGGAGTGGCTCAAGTGGTAGAGTGTCTGCCTAGCAAGCATTAGGTCCCGAGTTCAAATGTCAGTACCATCAAAAAAAAAAAAAGAAAAAAGAAAAGATACAGTTAACGCAGCAGGGATATTTGAGGAAAAAGTGATGGTTATGAAGTTTTGAGATGCCAAAGGTAGCACAAACTTGTACTTATGGAATGCTTTATGTTTCCCAAGGCTGTGGATCTCTCTGTTGATGAGTCTAGCTTGACAGGAGAGACAACCCCTTGTTCTAAGGTGACAGCTCCTCAGCCAGCTGCAACTAATGGAGATCTCACAACAAGAAGTAACATTGCCTTCATGGGAACACTGGTCCGATGTGGCAAAGCCAAGGTGATTTTCTTTCTTCCTTTGAAAAAAGTTGTTTTTTTGTTTTTAATCGTTTTCTCTATTCTTTTTTTTTTCTTGCTCACTTTGTGTATTCAAATCATATGACAAAGAAAAGACAGACTTGAAAAAACTGTCCCTTGGCAGTTATTTGTGAGATTGGAGAGAAGATACGTTCCTGAAATATAAAAATGTGAAATAGGATTTATCTATAGTTCTGCTGTGGACTGGAGAAGGGGTAGTCCTCAGTATCCGTTCCTTTTTAAAGATAGAAACAGTGATTCATGTGTATGTTCATTAGTAGTTAATATGATTTTAATTTAGTGAATACATTACTGGCTAATAATGTCTGACCTCATAGTGTTCACCCACTGATGGATTTCAACTATTTTGTTTTCCGGGATTCTAATGTTTAACTAATATAAAAGGTATCATTCAATAACCTAGCAAGAGAGAACAAGAAATTACATTAAGTTTCTTTATCGAGTATAAGATGTGAATTTCAGAAATAATATAGGCAAAAAATGGGCATCAGAATTGTTAGTATTTCATGAAATGTTTGTTTCCAGGGTTTCCATTATGAGGTATAAGGATTAATGATAGTAACTTAAAAAAGTAAATTTGCTGAGGGAATCTTGGATGTGTCTGTCAGTTTGTAGTAAGACTTTGAAGAAAGGAAATGAAAGGTGATTTTTGTCTTTGATTGGGAGTGATTCCATCTGAATGTAAATGAATTTCTTGTTTTCCCTTAGGGTATTGTCATTGGAACAGGAGAAAATTCTGAATTTGGGGAGGTTTTTAAAATGATGCAAGCAGAAGAAGTAAGTACTTAATATGTTGATGTATTTCTTTGAAATCTGAATTTCTCTAGAATGGAGAAAAGGAAAATACTGGTGGATTGTTTGTTGTATATGGTCTTGAAAGAATATTCATTAGCCATGCAGTTGTGTTTACTTAGAAACATTTTCTATAATATGAAAATGTTAAAAATAAAGCATAAAATTAAAAATATATAAAAATACATTTGAAAAATATGTAATTGTAGGGGCCTGAATTTATATTGTTAGCATTTTTGATCTTTAGCTATTGTTTTCAGTAGAAGTTCATAGCAGATTTTTATATTGACCTTGTTCTTTTTAAGAGATTGGCTTTGTTTTGTTTTGGTGCTGGGGATCCCCTAGGGTTACTGATTAATATGTTTATACCCCAAAACATATCTTCTCCCAAGATTTCTTTCTTCTTTTTCTTTTTTTTTTTTTGTGGTGCTGAGGTTTGAACTCAGGGCCTCATGCTTGCTAAGGAAGTGCTCTAGCATGTGAGCTACTCCATCAGTGTTCTATCGGAATTTCAAATTATGTAATTCCAAGTGTGTATGTGAGATTGCCAAATAACCTAGCTTTTTGTTAAGAATATTAAAGATGAGTTCTCTCATTTAAAACACTTCACACACACATGTATATATAAAGAGTTGTATTCTACAAATGTCATGTTCTTCTGAAGGCACAGTCATCTGGATTTCTCAGGTAACTTGCCGAGACTCCAGTTTGTGATGTAATATGGAAATCCCTTCTAACCCGCTTGGCAGTGAAGGTAGCAGGTCAGGAAGCCACCAGATAAAAAGACCTGGATACTAACATGTTTATGGGGACAGAGGGGACAGCAGTTGGTGGCAATAGCATCCTAGAGAGGCTGGTAGAAGAGAGGAGATTTTCATTAAGTGGGCAATCTGGGGAGAGTGGACCTTTTCAAACAAACAGGGTTTTCAAAATTGGGAGTTTTTTTGTTCTTGACTAAAACTTTGCGCATTGTTTAGAATCTGTGCCTCAGTTTCCTCAGTGAGATTATGGGAGAGTTGTGTGGTTAACTTAGCATGCAGAGACCTCTGCTCCTGATACAGCTAATTGTGGTGACATTCTTCTCCAATTTGTCAAGGCACCCAAAACCCCTCTGCAGAAGAGCATGGACCTCTTAGGAAAACAGCTGTCCTTTTACTCTTTCGGTATAATAGGTAAGGGGAGAGTGAGTATGGATATGTTGTATTTTTACCTGGGCTTTCTGCTTTGACTATGAAGGGTAGGGTGTTATCCTAGGTCTGTTCATTTGCTTTTCTTCAAGCTTAATACTTTAAAAAAATTACAAAATCAACCCTGAACCATTGTCTTGTACTGTAGAAAAAAGTAGAGCTGTATAATTCCTATAGGCAGAGAGCATTTATCTAAACATTTTTAGTATTTATCCTTCTAGTCATGAAAGTGTTGTTTTAGAGATTACTTTACATCTTGAGCCATACCTCCAGCCTCGTTTATGTGTTTTTAAATATGATAATCAGTTGTTGTCATGAACATAGCTTTGGTATGTATGTTCTCATAGTTCGTTTCATTCGATTATTGCTGTTTATAGATGATTTATAGTGAACTTGATAAGTTGATGGGTATTCTAGCCAGTTAAATCTTTCTAGTTTATATTAAGTGTGATAAAGCCATCTCAAAAATTCCATGATAAATGTGCTCCAGCCTTATGATTATCTGGTTTTATGTTAGCATAATGCATTATGCATAATTTTTTTTTTGAGCTAACTATAGACTACAGTAAGGGTTGAGACCTAGTTCAGGGATCAGCGAGTTGTTTTTGTGAACGACTACATAGTATTTTAGGTGTATGATCCCTACAGTCTCTGTGAGAACTACTTTGCCATCAGCATGAAAGCAACTGTAGACAGAGGAAATAAATGAATGTGGTTCTAATTAACTTTATGGCCATACACTGCTAGGAGGTCCATGATTATAGCTTATTGACTCCTAGTATAATTCATTGGACGTAATTTCTTTCATTGGGATAATGTTTAGGGTAAGATCTTACAGGGTCACTGTCTGGATTATTATTCTATAGATACATAAAGATGGTGGAAAGCTAATTTTAAATGTCCACATTTGATCTAGAGTGCAGTCTTAGAGGCTTTATTTTATCAAGCCTCTGATGATTCTTTGTGTTCTTTTTCCTTGTACCATTGATAACCCTATTTGTAAGATACAAGGTTAAAGCAGGAACCACAGGTTGTATTAATTGCTTTTCAAAAATTTTGAAGTAGTAGTTTTTAAATGTCAGTGCAGTTTTAGTGCCTAAATAAGTTGCATCCTACTTTGAGTCAGGTTCTAAGTGTTCCTTCATATGAAGTACACACTTAATGTGTGATGCCTGGTCATATGAAGTACACACTTAATGTGTGATGCCTGGTATTTGAGTTATGAAAAGTGAAATTAGAGCTTTTTTTTTTTTTCCAAAAGTTGATGGTAAATAGAAAACTTTTATGTCTTACTGGTCTGCCTCCTTTTTTCCATTGTATGAAAATGCTGGTACCATTTCCTTGAACCACGTTACTGTTTTGAGGGTAAGTGGGAGCATGGGCATCCATGCACACATGCCGTGAACAAGATTAACTTTAACCTCTCCTGCTTAGAGGGCATATTATACACTTTATATTGAGGACCTTTTGAATGCCTTCAGTTTGTTATTCTATCCCTCATAGGTAATTTTGTTGGAAAGGAAAAAGTAAGTTACTTGATTTTGTTGTAGGTATTATCATGTTGGTTGGCTGGTTACTAGGAAAAGACATCTTGGAAATGTTTACTATCAGTGTAAGGTAAGTTCTAATGCTTTGTCTGTAGGCAGTGTCTCTTTTGCCTCACTCACTTACATTTCATAGTGAAGGGCGGTATTATACAGAACCCATACGAATTTAGTCTCTTACTTGAATAGTTCAAAAGCCATAGATTGAAATGATCTGAAAGGAAAATAAAACATGGTAGTAAGGAAAACTCACTCTAGATGTCTGGAATTACTAACTCACTATTCCATTTTTGTACATAAATGGATAAGGATTGTGAAACAGAAAAAAAAGAGGAATTAAAAAATACACAGAAAGTATCTTTTTTTCAGAAGAAACTTTGTCTATGACAAATGAGCAGTTAATTGTAGAAAAGGATTAGAGAACAAAAAACATTTCTACAAGTTAAGATTATGGTGGCTGAAAATAAAAATTCAATTTTATGACTGTAGTATAAAGCTGGACAGGTCTCTCAAAAAAGAGTAAAAAAGTCAGAGATAATGAGATAAAGGTAACAAAGAAGAGTAATATAGGAAATGTCATTTCTAACAAATACAAGTTGCAAAAAGAGGTAGAGGAAATTATATAAGAAACTACATGTGGCCGGGCTCTGGTGGCTCATGCCTGTAATCCTAGCTAATCAGGAGGCAGAGATAGGAGGATGGAGGTTCCCAGCCAGCCCAGGCACATTGTTCTGCGAGACCCTATCTCAAAAAATCCCTTCACAAAAAAGGGCTGGTGGAATGGCTCAAGGTGTAGGCCTTGAGTTCAAGCCCCAGTACCGCAAAGAAAAAAAAAAAAAAAAAAAACCAAAAAACTACATGTGTACTTTCTCAACCTAAGGCAAAAAGTGAATCTTTGCAGATTGAAATGATTCACCAAATGCCAAGAAGGATGTAAAAAGCTCCAACCCACATATATCATTCTGAAACTAAGGAAAACAAGTCAGCTCATCTCCAAAAGAAGGATAATTAGATTGTCCCTATATTTCTCATTAACAATGGCATTCCTCCTACAGAGTCTTTCTAGGTTCTACTAAACCTTCTGACTCAGAATGCTTTCTTTGGCCACATTTGCTGCCTGTGCCCTAAACACTGCAGGGCAGGTCAAGCGTCCCCTTCTGAGAAGCTTCTTGCAGTAAGAAGTACATGCAGCAGTTCACGCAGGTGCAAGGAGATGAAGTGAACCTTTAAAAGTGCAGGAACTACCCTGGGTTCAGATTAGCTTCATTTTCCTCAGGGTACTTGCAAGGTATACAGGTGTAGGTAAAAGATACAATACACCTCGGAAATGAAAAGCTAGGGCTTCCTTTAAGATAATTGTGATTTTCCCAGCCTAAACACAGTTATTAGAGAATTCATTTATCATAAGTGATGTAGCCTGGCAGCATACTGGACACACACTACCTTACCAGGCCACTAGGGAAATAGAATTAGAGAGTTAATCAAATGAAGAAAGGGAGAAATGTTTTATTAACACAACACCAGGTTACACTGGAAGACAGTAGAGCATTGATCTCAAGCAGTGGGTGAAAGAGATTATAAATCTGTGGATTATGTCTAGCCAAAGTGTCAGTTCAATTAATTACAAACAAGGAAGCAAAGTACCCCAAACATTTGGAAAAGAAAGGAAAAAGGAAAGAAAGGTGATAGAGTTTGAGTGTGAGATAGGGTAGAGCTCACCTAGGCATCTTAAGGAAGAGAAGTCCTGGATAGCATCTCTGTATTAGGCCTGCGAGTACAAGTTCCAATATTAGAACAAAACCAATGTATTTCAAAAGGCAAATTGAATAGGTTAAAGGAATAGGTAGAAAAATGAAGAAGTGAAAAGATATGTGCTACAGTGAAGAACTCTTGGTTAAATCTGTACAAAATATCTATGCAAGGCTCTCAAGCCATCTGGCCAGAGTCCACTATACTCCTGCAGTATTTTCTCCACCTTCACATTGTTTTCTTTTCTTTTTCTTATCTTTTTTTTGTGGACTTGGCATTTGAATTCAGGACTTTGTGCTTACAAAGCAGGCACTCTATCATTTGAGCCACTCCTCCATTCCATTTTGCTTTGGTTATTTTGGAGATGGGGGTTGCTCGAACTATTTGCCCAGACTAGCCTCCAACCACAATCCTGATCTCAGCCTCCCAAGTAGCTAGGATCATAGGCATGAACCCACTGGTTCCTGAGCTGCCTTCACTTTTTCCTGCTTTTACTTTCAACAAAACTTAACTGCTGCTTTGCAAAATATATATAATATGTGTACACAAAAGTCTTAATGCCTCAGGGAACACTGTTTTGCCAATAGTTTTATAAATATTGCTTGTTTGCTTTCAGTTTTAGAATTAACCTATAAACAAAGCAAGAAAAGGTTAATTATGGTTATAGAGCAGAGTGGTAATGATACTAAACTAGACCATGCTAAAGAAAAGGTAGGTAACAGGAATGAGAATGTAGAAGCCCCAGCAAGAACAGTGGTGGAGTGCTTATGCCCTTATGTGCAGCAGAGTCAAAAGAATACTTGGAATAATGCTGATGTTTAACTTGTTATATGATAAGGGGGAAATAATATTTTAAAAAACTGATAAAAGTGCACATGCTATTAAAGTGTATGATGAAGTGGAGTTAAGTATAGCCACTGTGTTCTAGAGCCTCCACTGCCATCTAGTTCCAGAGCTTTTCATCTCCCCAGAAGAACTTGTGTACATTAGTAGTTACTTCCCACTCTCCTCCGCTTCCAGTCCCTAGCACCCACTGGTCTCTAGGATTTGACTATTCAAAATAGTGAAGAAATGTATTTTTCTTACAAATGGAATCATGTATTCTTACAAATGGAAAAATGTATTCTTACAAATAATCATACAACATGTAGTCTTTGTGCCTGTCTTCCTTCACTTCGTATGTCTTCAAGGATCATCTAAGTTATAACATGAATTAGTACTTTATTCCTTTTCATGGCTGAATGATATTCTATTGTCTGATATCACAATTGTATACATTCATCAATGAATAGATATTTGGCCTGTTTCCATGTTTTGGCTGTTGTGAATAGTACTAATACAAACCCTGATTATAAGCTTTTGTTAACATTTGCTCTTAACTCGTGTTTTATAAATGAGGAAACTAAACTATTGAGGTGGGTTAAAAAGTAGCCAGTAAGCCCAGGGTCACACAAGGAAAAGTTTGAAGCCAGCTTTACACAACTAGGCATTTTTATATCAGAACCTATCTTCTTTGACCATGGTAATTGTCCTAGCAGTTTGTGGGTATCCAGTAAATCAACTTCCCCTTCGTTTTTGAGAAGCCCAATTTTGAGAGTCAACAGTATTAATTTTGCATTTCATTGATCTTCATTTTAAGTAGCATCCAGTTTAAATTGCTGTTATAACCATTTGATGTACATTTTAATACTGTGTATGTGTTGGTATAGTTTGGCTGTAGCAGCGATTCCTGAAGGTCTTCCCATTGTGGTCACAGTGACACTTGCCCTCGGTGTTATGAGAATGGTGAAGAAAAGGGCCATTGTGAAGAAACTGCCTATAGTTGAAACCCTGGGTGAGTCTGCGTTCAGAGCGCACATACGTAACGGTGTGTTACAGCACTCAGTGCTAAACCAGTTTTTGTCTTTGAGTCTGCAGAGTGCTGTTTGCACTGTAGCAGTGCTGGATATGATTTTAATAACCAACAAGCAGTTAAAAATTCATATCTCTGGTGGAGTGGCTCAAGAGGTAGAGCACCTGCCTAGCAAGCAGTGAGGCTCCTGAGTTCAAGCTCCAGTACCACCACAAAAAAAAAAAAAAAGAAATCCAAAAAAACAAAACAAAAAAATCGGAAAACAAATTCTTATCTCTTGGGAGAAATCTTTCTGTATTGTGGAATGTTCTAATGCTTAAATTATGTTTTGTTTTTGTCTTTTAATCTATATTTACAAATGAAACCTTGGAGTAAAATTAATACAATGTTTTCCTTTTGACATGTCAAGGAAAATAATTGATAATTATAATCCTAAAATATCAGAAACTTTACATTTTAATGATGAAGCAAGCATAATGTAAGAAATTAAAATGAATGAGTTGATCTCTGTAAAATTCAGAGAACTAGGACAAAATTCTACAGTGTTTAATTTATTTTCTAAGTCACCTTTTTTTCTCCCTGATTCCTTTGTGACACATAATGATTTGTTCTTTAGGCTGCTGTAACGTGATTTGTTCAGATAAAACTGGAACACTGACAAAGAATGAAATGACTGTTACTCACATAGTTACTTCGGATGGTCTGCATGCTGAGGTATTCTTTAGTTTTTATTTTTTTTGAACAATAAAAGTATGGCTTTGTTAAGAAATTCAGTGTTTAACATTCTTAACAACTCTAAGATTTTAGAGCTTTAAAAGCTCTAAAAAATTGCAACAGAGTTACTTCCTTTTTATGTGATTCTACCAAGTCTTTGTCTGACTCTTGTTGTTAAATTCATAAACTGATTCCTCTTTTACATCTCTTTTAGTCACCCCTTCACCCATTCATCACCAAATCATGCCAGTTTTGAGCTCCTGAATAACTTTCCTAGCCTTCTATTTTATAGCCCGCTTCATCTGGCCTTCTGATTAAAGCCTCTTGACTGGTTTTTCTATATCCATTCCTTTTATTTTTTTCTTTTTCATTTTAAGGAATATAACTCAGAAGCATGTAGAATTACATACTAGAAGTTTTTGTTCTATTGATGTAAAACAATATACATACACTTGGTGCATAATTTCATATTTTTAATTTAGGAAAAAGGAAAAGACTAACTATGATGTATTTGATGTAAGAACTTTTGTAAATGCCACAATGTACCCCCAGCAAAACCACAACAACAAAAAAGAAAAAGACAATGTGAAAATAGCTTATAAATCTCAGTCCCTTTTATCAAGTTATTACTGAAATCAGTAATCACTTGAATGTATAGCCGTCAACTCTGAATATGAATTATATGAACTGGAATTTATCTAGATGAGTTTTGACTGCATTTTAAAAAAATGCACAATTATATCATAGGTCACTGGCTTCTACAGTACATGATAGTTTTTTTTTTCCTCATCCTCATTTTGTTTTATTTTATTGTTTTTACATTTATTCATATGTGTATACATTGTTTGGGCCACCTCTCTCCCTTGCTTCTCTCCTCCCAACCCCCCTCGCTTTCAGGCAGAACCTGTTCTGCCCTCTTTTTCTCCAACTTTGGTAAAGAGAAAACAGAAGAGATAAGACATAGAGCTTTTGCTAGTTTGAGATAAAGATAGCTTTACAGAGAGATTTCTTGTGTTGCTTCCATGCACATGTGTATTGCAACCCACATTGGTTCATCTCTACCAGACTTCTTCGCTACTTCCTGGTCCCCTTCCTGTAGTGGCCTCTGCCAGTTTAAGATTACTATATTTGCTCACCTGCAGTGAGCACATCAGATACATTCAAGTTATAGGTTTCCTTCCCTTTCCCTATTCCTCCCATGCACATTCTCCCCTTGGTGTGTGACCCATGTCCAATAATATTACTGCATTTGTTTTGGGTCTATAATCCACATATGAGGGAGAACATACGATTTTTTACCTTCTGAGCCTGGCTAACTTCACTTAAGATGATGTTCTCTAGTTCCATCTATTTACTTGTAAATGACAAAATTTCATTCTTCTCTGTGGCTGAGTAAAATTCCATTGTATATAAATACTAAATTTTCTTAATCCATTTGTTGGTAGCATCTAATGCTCCTCAGTGCCATCTTTTGTTTTGTGCTTCATTTTGTGACCCTATCAAATAAATCACTTTGTCCAATCCAATCATTTGTTCTTCCCACGATTTCATTTCTTTATCATAACAAATTTCATTATCTTTGGCAAGTTGAATATATATATATATATATTTGGTTTTAAGAACTAGACAGATTTTTCTAGCTTTCATTATAGTCTTCAGCTTTGCCTATGATGAACCATCTTTACCCTCTTATAAGCTTTCAGATACAAAGATGAGATAATTGAATGAGGTTTCTTTGGTTTTCCAAGCATTTTAAACTCTCTTCTTCATTAATACTTTCTTTTTAAAATGTTTCTGCATGATTTCTTTTTCCACAGATACCACCTGACTTGGAACAAGTTGTTCTTGAATTCTGTTTATCACTTCTTTGTATGCCCACTAGTCTGCCTTATGAGTATTTTTATATATATTTTTTCTCTGACTCAGGTACTTCCCTCCATAGCTCTACAGTTTTTCTAATTAGTTTTGAAAATTTTGCATCTGGGTTTCGAGGTTTAAATGTGGTTAGCTGTTCTTTAGAAAATCAAAGGTATATACCCAGAGGTTTCTTTGGATAATTCCCCAAGGTGGATGAAAACCATCTGAGTATATATTTATACTGAGCTGAAGGAAGGAACTGGGGGACATGGCTCAAGTGGTAGAGCACCTGCCTACCAAGCATGAGGCCCTGAATTCAAATCCCAGTACCTCAGACCTCCCCCCAAAAAAAACAAAAACAAAACACTGAAAGGTGAGCATTGTTGACTTCCACGGCCAGCTCAGCTCTAGGCCCCAGAAAAGTGCCTATAACATGGGCTGACAAGGCAGGGGCTAGCCCCCAATCTCCCAGAGTCTCCCTCACAGCACAGAATAGCCCAGCATTGACAGCCTAAACAGCAGGTGAACATATGGGATTTGTGAGAAGCGCAGTGGAAGTCAGTCTGCAGATGGGATGGGGCTCTGTATCCATTTTCCATGCCCGCAGTGTTGTGTAGCTTGAAGTGATCTTTTTAGAAAGAAATTTTGAATGGTCATTCCTAAGTTAAGATGCTTCAGTGGCTCTCCATTATGACCAGGATTCTGTAGCCTCTCCCTTATTTCCTTCTCCAGCCTTTTGTGCTGCATCAAATGTACCAACTTTATGGTTGTTCATTGTGGGAAAATTCTTCTCAGGACCTTTGTTCCTGTCTACACTCAATTCTAGCTCTACCTCTTCAGAAAAGCTTCGGTACCACCCAGAACTGGCACTCTATTTGTTTTCTTTGCATTGCATTCCTCTCAGTCTTCATTCCAGGTGAAATTTTCTTTGTTGTTCTGCTGTGAATTATAAGAGCGGGAACTATGTTGACTAGTACAAGGCCTGTGTCATAGTAGTAGTACTTGAATGAACCACTGAATGAATGACTTTAAAAATTATGTATTGGCAATCTTTAAAGTGCGTATCTTTAGTGGTTCTTTGTAAAGATGGTTGAGGACAAGTCCCAGTGTTTGTGAAAATTTTGACTGGAGTGTTTTTAAAACTACTTATGATGTACTTATTTCAAAAATTTATTTTCCACTATTTCACTGAGGAAAATAAACATTAGAAAAAAATTGACAAAAGTTTGTACTTGGGTTTATTTAGATACATTTTACATAGGTCTTAAAATAAGACTGTTGAATTTAGAGTGTTAGATTTGATCAAGGATAACACTATGTTGGTGAATGTGTCCTTCCTTCAGAAAGGTAACTGGTGTTACATGTGCTTACTTGGCCCAGGTATGGAAGGCACGATATTAGTTTCTGTTTCAAGTCCATCATTTTACATGTCAAGAATTATCTACTTGTTATTTTCTTTCTGAATTATAAACCATATTTTTATTCAGAATTTTTGTTTGGATTGATTCTAACCAGATGGAGTAAGTATCTTGCTTGATTTGCCTATGATTTTTAAAGTTAGCATGTAATGTGCTGTATTAAAAATAATGGGGTAAGCCAGCTGCGGTGGCTCATGCCAGTAATCCTAGCTACTTGGGAGGGTGAAATCTGGAGGATCACGGTTAGGGGCTAGCCTAGGCAAATGTACAAAATAACCAGAGCAAAATGGACTGGAGGTGTGACTTAAACAGTGGAGTGCCTGCTTTGCAAACATGAAGTCCCAAGTTCAAACCCCAGTCCCATAAAAACAATCCAAAAAAGTAGTGGGTAAATCTAATGTCTCTGAGCATGTGTATTTACAAAAAGAATTCAGCTTTTATGTAGCTCACAGGTTTGTGTCAAATACTAGGTGTGGTAATGGAATTAAGTTCCATATAAACAGTAGAATATTAGTTCTACTGTTTAATTTAAATATAAATTTAAACTCACAGAGATTTTCATGGTTTATAATATATTGTAAGCAGAGTGCAATCTTTGGGGTGAAATTTACAATCTGTTCCTTTAAAGATTTAATGTTCTTCTTTTAAATAAATTTCATTGCTTTATATCCACTTCAATAATGTCATGATGTAGAAAGTGAATTGAATACAATGCAGGGTAGTTTTTGGTTCTGTTAGTCTTGTCACTGTGTACTGTTTATATTACTGGTCCCACTTCATGTTTCTTAGGTTACTGGAGTTGGCTATAATCAGTTTGGTGAAGTGATCGTTGATGGTGATGTTGTCCATGGATTCTATAACCCATCTGTTAGCAGAATTGTTGAGGTAAGAATCTATTTTCCAAGAAGGGAACTGTCTTCATAATGACTTAAAACATGTGGTAGGTTCATAGTTCATGTGTATTTTCCTTAGGCTGGCTGCGTGTGCAATGATGCTGTAATTAGGAACAACACTCTAATGGGAAAGCCAACTGAAGGAGCCTTAATTGCTCTTGCAATGAAGGTATGTAAGTGATTTCTTGACATGAGATATTATCCTGACAGCAGAATGGGAGGCTATCAATTTTAGTATTACTAATTTTTAGGTATTCAGTGAAGAAGACTCAATATTTCATTGCTTTTCCTGCATGTTGGGGCCTAGTTTTGTTTCTTTAAGTATTGAGCATGTAGCTTTTTCAGTGAAACCTTATTCCTTTAATGGAAGGTACAAACTAATAACCAGTGATGGATTTGTTACATTCATGAAGCAACATTCCTGTCTTGTATAACATTGGGATCTATGTGTGAAAAGCCTTATAACTGTGTCTAGTTGCTAAGACATGCTTTTACCTTAGTAAAAGACAATATTCTGTAGCATTCCTATATAAAGATATTAAGGCAGTCATAAGAAAACAGCTTTTCTTTTCCCAGTCTTCCCTTTCCCTGCTATAGCTGTTTTTCAGAATGAATGTCAGATTAAAATTTGTGTTGGAGAGAGAGAAGTGTTATTCTTAGTGACATTTTCATCTGTCCTGATTGATCTTACATCCTCAGTTCTACATCTGTTTCAGTGAGAAACCAAAAAGTCCACTCTGCTATTTTCATAACAGAAGTAACTGCTTACTTTTAAGTGCAGTTTGGGTGAAGTAGGATCCCTCTAAATGAAGTTACTGGAAATGAGAGCCAGTATACATTGTAGGTTGTTACAGCATTTACCTTGATAAAATAAAATGGACTGTGTATTTATTTTTGTGGTGCTAGGAATCAAACCCAGGGCTTCCCACATGCTATGCAAGCACTCTACGGCTGACCTAAACCCCACCCTTACAGTTTTGGAATATGTGTATATAGTCTGCATAAAAGCTTTATTTCTTTTATCATTTGTTCTCCTTGTAACTAAAATACATAGTTAAGTCCCCCCCCACCCCCCCGTACTAGGCATTGAGCACAGGGCCTTGTGCTGGGTAGGCAAGCATTCTATTGCTTGAGCCACATCCCCAGTCCTTTTGCTTTCAACCTGTTTTTGAGATAGGGTCTTATGCTTTTGTCTAGGCTGGCTTCACAATCCTTCTGCCTTCTGCCTATTCAGGATTATAGGAGTGCACTACTATGTGTGTTTGAGATAGAGTCTTAATAACTTCTGCCCAGGCTGGCCTTGAACTGCAGTCCTCCTGTTGGACCATAGGTATTTGCTACTATGCCTGGCTTGTTTCTGAGATAGGGCTTGCAACTTTTGCTTTGACTGGGCTTGAACTGTGATCTTCTTATCTTTGCTTCTTGAGTAGCAGGGATTATACCATGCCTAGGTCAGTATAAGTTTTTAAAAGATATTCAAGGTGGAAGACGAGTTAGGATCATGGTGTAAGGCAGTCTGTAGGGAACAGTGTGAGACCCTCTCTGAAAAATAAACAAAAGCAAAAAAGGTCTGGGGGGGTGTGTGTCTCATTTGACTTCTCAGCATGTTTCCAGCCCTAGTAAACTAAACCCTGGTACCTTTGTACTGCCAAAAACAAACAAAAAAGATGCTCAGAAATGATCAGATACCAAGTGTTTCCTGTGTTACACATAATAAGATACTGGCTTCTTAAAGACATAAAGTGTGAAACTACCTCATAGTTAGGAGTTAATAATGACATTTTTAGAACAAATAAAAGGCAGACTCATGTAAATCCACAGTATTGAGCCATATATAAGAATAGTGCAATTCAGAACTGGGAGGAGGACTTTAAAGGATTGAAAGGGTTTAGGGGAGGTAAGCTGGGGAAAGAACTAAAATGAAAGCACAAAGCAGCAAGTTAACATAGAATGGGTGTGGTAATCAGGTGGCTGAATATGTAGTGCATGGTGGGTTTCTAGAGGACCTTCAAATGCCAACAAAAGGCTGAACATATTTCAATAGAAAACAGAAACCAATAAAGTAGAGTTTTGAGTAGCTTAAAAGCATTTTTGGATATCTGGAAGAAGATGCAGAGTCCACTGGGAAGGAGAATAACTGTGACATTGATAGGTGTCAGTTTATAAAGTAGTAGGGAGACAGAGAACTAGGAGAGTAACAATAGGCAAGACAGGTGAGATCCAATCCAAAACTTGTGTTCATTAAAAATGTTTACACTCAGTATTGATTAGGTACCTGTATTTATTTGTATCTTGCTTCCTTCTAGTATTTGAGCTGGTAGAGAGATTAATATAGTTAGCTTTGAAGGCTTGGCATACATACGTACAGGCCAGCACTACATATTCACACACAGGCTTTCATGTTGAAAATGTGCACTGCTGTGCGGGGAAGTATGTGTAGATGGAGCGTTGCTGTTCTTTCACCATTGTTTGAAAAGTAACCCAGGTATCTCCAATGAATCAAACTACAAGTTGTGACTTTTGTTGCTTGTTAAAGAAAAAAATAATCCCATGTTGGATAGAATTAACTTTCTTTTTTGGCCTTATAGATGGGTCTCGATGGACTTCAACAAGATTATATCAGAAAAGCTGAGTACCCTTTTAGTTCTGAGCAAAAGTGGATGGCTGTTAAGTGTGTACATCGAACTCAGCAGGTATCCCTTTGTTTAAACAATACTTAAATCCCATTCAGTTTAGGTGACTTATTTTTCATTTACTGTCCACCTTTAGATTTAACCACTATATGTAATAAAAACCTGTTGCTTTAAAGTATGGTCATCGATGGTACACTCACCTCTTTTTATTCTCATGTTTTCTTTGATACTGTTTCCTTACAGAATCCACGCATAGGTATGTTTATTTTGTTGTATGAGCTAGCAGCTTAGAGGAGGTGTAGCCTGGTCTCAGTCTGTTGGAGCTTGTGACATTAGGTTCTGTCAACATAATTTTTGTTCTTGCTGACATTTCATCATAGGCCTCTGCTGACTGTGTGTTGTCAGTCTGGGCTCTTTCACAGAAGGGAATGTCTTATCTTCAGAACAAACCAAAGCACACTATTTTGTGAAAATGTGGTTCCCAAATGTATGTGATTCATGTTAATTGATCCAGTTTACAAACTGACAAAATGGCATGTAGTAAGCTGCTACCTTGTTCATGGATACTTTAGAAATTTTTACAGTTAGTGTAAAGAGTTCTGAATTGTCTACAATGTATAATTATATCCTTTATAGTTACTGTTTCCAGCTTGATACTTCACTTGTCCTTTATATGTGTGTGTGTGTGTGTGTGTGTGTGTGTGTGTGTGTGTGTGTGTGTATATTCACATATTTATAAAACACATCTATAAATATGTTTATTTTTACCTTACCTTTAATAGTAATGAATAATTGGTTTTGTGTTTAATCTGTGAAACATCTACACGTTACATCTCTTAGACAGGAATGAATGAAGGCATCTCCCTTACCCATAATAAGCAGGAGACTGGTTTTAAAAGAAAGGCCAACTTGGACAACATTGAATTTGTAAATAGAAAGTCTGTCAGGAACTATGTTCATATTCTGTCTGATCTTTAAAGGAACTTTTACAAACTTGTGGGAAGGGTAACAATTGAAAACAAAACAATAAAAATATTTAAATCTTGTAATGTAAAGCTTTTGAAAACTGCATTATATTTAGCTGATGTCCTTTGACCATACAGGGCAAGAAACGTATATGAGCTTTTCTGACAATGTAGTGGGGCTTGTGTAATGCTTGATTGTTTTTAGTAATATGGATCTAATTCCATGGAAATAACGCACAGGAGGTTTAAATATTCTCAGAGTGGTGAATAGGAAGTGGCAGAATATAAGTGATTCTTCTTCTTCCCGTTTTCCAACTTGAAGAGTTCTTGCAAAATAAAACCAACCAATGAAAATGAAAATGTAAAACCTAAACTCACAGATGTGACTCAAGGTATGGAAGAGGTCAGCCTGACACATATAGGGTAAACTTGCTAATTTAAAAATAACTCTAGTGGGTAAGTAGCTTGTTTCTAGAAAACTTTTATTTGAATATGACAATATATATTCTCTCTCCCTGGAATCTGCCAAAAGGAATAAAAGACATAAGACCCTGTATACCTTGAAGGCAGGAAGTAAGATACAGGGCTAAAAATAGGAGGGAAGGTTAAAATTCTGAATAAGTAGACAGTATAACTTCCCTAAGTACCTTTTCTGCTTTTTAGGCCAGCCTATTAGCACTCCTTTACCTCTGTGGAATACTGGAAATCTGATTTTGGGAACAAAGTGGAGGGCAGGATTAAGACTGAAAGCAGAGTGATTGAGAGGAAATCATTGTGAAGGATAAGCCTCTAGGTTTTAACTCCTCTTGTCTCTCAGGATCTGCACAGGCAAGCCCTTCCTTACCCTCATTCCCTAAGTCAGAATATTGAGGAATTTTAGAAAAATCTTAACTGGTCCCAGGGAATTTTCAACAGTAAGGGATACCCCTAATCAAGCCTTATGTTCATTGGAAGAGCAAGGTCTACCAGTTAATTAGCTCTGCCAGAGCCCACGTTGCTTCTAGTCCTGTAACTGGATAAACATTATTGCCAGATACTTGGGAAAAGTCTTTAGTATTAAAGACACAGACAGGATAAGACAGAGGTCTCAAAGAAACAAAGGTAATATCAGATGCCAAGGAAAATTTCCAAAGACTATGAAAGTGTTTTTCCATAGAATATTTTTAAATAAGTTAAGGAATCTATCAGAAAGCACAATGGAATGTCAAAGAGGTAGACAGTAGGTATGAAAAATCAGAAAATGAATACTGGAGATTCAGTATCCACCTAATAGTGGTATTAAAACGAGAGAGCAGGAAATGGAAAGATCTTATTAACTAGCACTAAAAAAAAATATAATGAATGTAAAGATTTTAGGTTCTAGAATAAAATGACCCACCAAATGCTCAGCCCAATGAGGATGTTCGATGGGGGATGAGGGAAAGGGATAAATGCAAGGTACATAATCAAGAAATGTGATGGTACTTGGAGAAAGAGAATTTGAAAGACTTACACAGATTTTTGATGGGAGGAGATATCATATAAAAAAGGTATAGGTAAGGTGAGGGAGAACATATAAAAAGTTTTACGAATTCATAGTAGCTTCTGCATATTTTAATGTTAATGTGTGCGACAGCACTGGACACTGGAATATAATAAAGCCTTCAAAATTAGAGAGTTATTCCCAGCTAAACATAGAAATGTTAGCATAAAATAAAAATGTATGTCCCACACCATGCACACCCAGCCCCCTTTTTAAGATACTGTTGGATAATAAATCAAGGAAAAGGAATCCAGTGAGAATAGAGGTAAAGGAAAGTTCCTGATCCTTGTGTGCAGTAGGCCTAGAAACCAGCCAACTCTAACTAGAAAAAGAAAAGAACAAGATTGAAAGAGGGAGGTCTCCAATAGAAATGAGGAGTGATAGCTTACCTGCTGCTTTTTGATCGTGTATAAATTATAATGAGAAGGGTTTTACACCATATAGAAGATTTTGAGAAGAGAAAATGAGTAGTGTAAACAAAACTTTGAACAGGAAAAGAAGTATTTGATTCATCAGTGAGGGTAGGTCATGGGAACATCACAATACCCTGTTGCTGCCTCTGTACCCTCAGAAAGCTGCTCACTATAGTTACCTGGGGTCCCTGGCAGAGGGAAGCTCTGTCTCCAGGTTGAGTACACAAGCCACTGCAGGAGTGGGAATAGCAAATTATGCCCTGGCCCAAAATTGTATTTGGAAGTGAGACAAGTGCTTCTCATATTTTTGGCTGCAGCAGGTCACATCTAACTTTGGGAGAGGGTGTGCAGCAGGGAAATACATTCCTGCCTGCAAGGAGAACTGGGATGTTTACAAACCATGTAGTCATTACAAACTTGGCTACATGGTGAAGACTCGTAATGTAGACAGAACATTGACAAAATTGTGCTTTCATTATAACATAAAGATAAGGATATGGGAATAGGTAGTGGGGGTGGCCAAATGAACACCTATCGTAATAGATCATGTGTAGAATTGAAGATTGAAGGAGTAGCAATATAAAGTATTAAAAACTCTGGGGTTAATGCCAAAGAAAACAGCTGAAAGAGTTTGAACTGATTTTGCTTTGTAGGATGAGAAGGATTGCAAAGGGGTGGCAGTTTTTCATTATAAGCTTTTTGTTGGGGATTAAAGCCAGATCTTGTTTGTATATGCTAAGCTGAATATTACTGTTACTATGATAAAAGAGAAGAAGTCTGGTAAGACCCTTAATTACAAGGTGGTTATGAGACAGATATATAAATAGTAACTAATAAACAGCCTGAACCTTTTATCTGTGGGCTGACATTGGATCTCTTTCCTTTCCCTGTTACAGAGCCTATCCCAAATCTCAGAGTGCCTGATCTGAGCCTTAGTATAGCACTCCTTTCAATCTGTCTAGTAGTGAGACAGATGTGGTTTTCTACAGAAGATGCAGAAAGTGCCCACATGAGTTTTTAATCTTTAGAGTTCAAGTGCCACTCAAAGCCTTAGGTTTGAGTAACTTCCTGGGCATTTCACTGTTGAAGTGAAACTTGTATTTTTTTATGTTTTTCTTCTTAGGACAGACCAGAGATTTGTTTTATGAAGGGTGCCTATGAGCAGGTGATTAAATATTGTACTACATACCACAGCAAAGGACAGAACCTGACACTCACCCAGCAGCAGAGAGATCTGTACCAACAAGAGAAGGCACGCCTGGGCTCTGCGGGACTCAGAGGTAAGCCCATTTCAGCGAAGCCCCTGGAGGCAAAAAGGTAGACTTGTAATTGTAAATGAATGTATACTTCTCATCTGAGCCATCCAACTCTTCCAGACTTAATAGAACCTTTGCCATTTCTGAGGTGTTATGTTTTAGTTGGCTAACTGCTCCCAAAAGGTGGAAAATTGAGAATGCAGCAGAACCTCTTGTTCTTACAGACCTACAGTTGTCTCTGAGTAGGTGATGGAGATTTTTACTTAAACAAGTTTATCTTGTGAGAGGGAGCTGTGTCAAGGCAAAATTATGTTATTACCCTTTCCATATTTTGTTACTTCGTCTTCATTGTTAATGGAACTAAAATATGTTCTTAAAAATGGGAGGTCTTGAGCCTCTGATTTGTCCTTTAAATAAGTGTTTGCTAACTTGATCCTCATCTGCTGTCTTCCTTCTTTTCTCTTCACCAGGGAGATAAAGAAGTACCCAGATACTACTCAGGCAAATGTTGCCTGAGCAGTTATGGTGTTGGGGAGAGTGAGGGTCCGCTGGGCACCACTCATCATGCCACCTCTCCTAGGGACACCATGTGTAGTAGAACTGAGAGGCAGGAGTTGGGACCACACCTGATTTTTACTTTCTGAATAGTCACCTGGCTTATATAGAATATCTGAGGCTATCTAGTCTTTCAAGGAAATTGGAGGAGTTGGCTTCCTTGCTTTTATAGTTTTAATGAAATGGAAGTCAGACACTACAATTCCTGGCAGAAAGGAAAACAAGTTAGGATAAATGTTCTTATTTATGATTCACTTTAAATGAGGGCATTCTTTGGATCTGAAACATGCAGGTAAATTTTTAGGACTTCTATTCTTATAATAAGCTCTTTGGAAAGGTATTCTTGTGAGCAGAGAATGCTATTCCAGCTTAGTTCTCTGCTTATGCCCTTGCCTCTGGATTCTACAGCAGCCCCAAAGTCCCTGAGTCCAGGTCACTCCTCATGTCCTCTCCAGAGTCTGGTTCATCCTACTTGGGGTTACTAATTGCCTTGTGATCATCTCAAAACTTCACACTCTGTCTCCAGTGAAAACGGAGGTGGAGCTTCCTGGCTAAAAAATTGTTTTGCGAATGGATCTATTTTTGCATGAAAAAAAAATTTTCAAAGAAAAGTGACTCTTCCTTTTCCCTCACCTCCATAAAGTAAGAGGCTTTGATGTCAGGTCCCAGCGTTCCTAGTGTTTCTTCCCATAGGCCTGAACCCTTAATATGCCCCTTAAGCCTTCTGAATCCTTAAGGTCAAGGTAGATTTTCTCTCCCACCATTGGTTCTGAGGCAGGAGGAACCTCTTCTCCTGTTGAGCTGAGTCAGGCCTAAGAGTAGTGGGAGCTATAGACCACAGAGTTTTTAATAAATTTCATGAATTTATCAAGTCAATTGAGCACATGCTAACTAGATACTCTGGTGAAGTGGGTGCAGAAGTACCCCCCCATGCTGAGAGCAGTGGGCAGACTCAACTGTTTGGTGAGCCTAGCCATGGGAAGAAATCTTTGATTCTGGAGAAGAGTGATAAGGTAGCTTCCTGCCCTCTGCTACCCAGAGAGAATGTCACCATGAGGAGGGCTTAGCCCCTAAGTACAGTTGTATACAAAGAGACTTGAGGGCCATAGCAGGGAGGCCTGTGGCAGGAAAGAGGGGTGTCAAGGGGCAATGGTATCTTCTCTGCTATTCCTGGGAGGATTGGTGCAGGGTCCTGTTTCTCCCTGGGCTGTTTTCTTCCTATTTTCTCACATTTGGGGTTTTCACTCTTTCTATTTAGTAGTCTACTTTTCCCAAGATGTACTTAAAAAGAAAAGAAAGAAAGACACGGTGGAGGGGGTAGGATGGTGGTGAGGGAGACAGGGGAAATGGAAATATACTTCCCTCACCTGGAGTCCCAGTCATGTGAGTCCTCCAGTTTGTTGGATTTATTTCCAGTTGTTAATACAAAACAAGTATTGAAACAGTTTTAAAAGGTGGTGGCCAGGGGTGTTAAGAATTTTATTGCTCTTAGGAGCTCACAGCAAGAGAATTTCAAATTTGCATGGATTTAGAAAACTTAAAGAGGTCTTAAAGTTCTGGTATATGCACCTGTTTTCCTTAATTTTTGAAATAGAAGTTTTCTCATTTGTTTATTTTGCCTGTTTTCACTTGAAGGATTGTGGAGGTTTGTATATATGAGGTTATGTGTAGTAACATTGTAAAGTAGATCAGAGTTGACAGAGGGAAATATTTTGATCTTTTGTCTCTTCCTTCATGTTTTTTCTTCATCCTCTCTCTTTGCTTCACTTTCCTCCTCCCCTGAAATTATCATAATAGAACAGAAAGATAATAAATTTTAATTGTTACGTACTTATGTTGCATTTTACAAAACTTATTTCTTAAAATACTTATGATCTTAAATTTGAAATTAGAATATGTTGTTTTACATCAGTGACTTTCCACATGAAAAATGTGTACCTACCCTTGACATAGAGTATCATATCAGTAGGTCTTCATTTGTGCTAAAGATGTTAATAAATAAATACAGAATGCTAACCTCTAAGCCAGTGCTTTCCTTTTTTTGAGAGGACCCAGAGCTCCCTTTGTTAGAATTTGCTGACATACAAATTGTCATTGTCCCCTTCTGTTGCCATCTGCTTCTGTCCCAGCACTGGGGACTGTCAAGTGGCTCATTTCCTTACAAGTGAAAGCCTTTGGGTCTCACATCTAAATACACAGGTGTATCACTCACATTGGAAAAATGCAAGTTAGTTGCCTTTAACCTTGGTTTTCCAATCCTTCATACTTTCTGCTTTGAATAAGAACGACTACTTATTAGTCTCTCTGGGACATTTCAGTCTCCCCATGAGGTATTTCTTTGTATGTTTTTGTGTGTTTCTTTGGTAAAGTGTTCAGCCTGATAATATCCCAGATGCAGTCACGTCCCTTTAATTCAAAAGAGTAGTAACCAGAAGTTCCAGAATTCTTAGAATAAGCTAAATGATATTTGGAAAATGAACAGAACTTTGTGCTGTATCTTACTGCCCAAAGATGATAGGAAACGGTGTATAAATATTAACATATTATTGTTTATATACTCTTAAGAGAACCAAAATTACAAATAAGAAATGCCTGTTAATGTTATGGAAAGAAGTATTAATGGTCTTACAATCACCTTATAGATTAATCTTACCTTCCAGGGTTTGTCATGTATGAAATTATATAGGCTGTATATAATTAATACAGCCTTTTCTTCAGGCTGTTGAAATTTTCTGGAGACCTATGAAATGGAAAGATGAAGATACATTAGAAGCCACCTTCAAAGGTGTCTGTCTGTTTAGAATTGACTTTTTAAAGCTTGACAAGCCCATAGTTTCTCTAAGTAATGAATTGTATTTTCTAAAGAGGCAGTAGTTTCGATGGAAAGTAGCTGCATGTGGTTGCTGTGCAAAAATGGTCCTTGTTTTCTGTCACTTGCCTTCTCTGCTTAACAGTCCTTTAGTTTTGTCCTTTTAATTTTTAATAGCTTAGAAGCAAACCCATATCCAGACCTGTTAAACTGTCGTGTCTTGGCATGTAATAACTTTGAATTTTAAAGGTAATATAATAACTACAAGTGACATTATAGTTTTAAGTGACTTATGGCCAACTTAATTATGTTTTTGTGACTCACATTTTCTATTTTGGATTTTTATTATTGTTTCCTAAGTTCTTGCTCTGGCTTCTGGTCCTGAGCTGGGACAGCTGACATTTCTTGGCTTGGTGGGAATCATTGATCCTCCTAGAACTGGTGTGAAAGAAGCTGTCACAACCCTCATTGCCTCAGGAGTGTCAATAAAAATGATCACTGGAGACTCACAGGAGACTGCAGTTGCAATTGGTATGATTAGGCTGCTGCCTTTTGTTTTTGATAATTCTTCTTAAAGTGCTAGAGTGCATGCATAGTTTTGTAAACCATTAGATATAAAGTGTGTTCACATAATATTGAGGTTATACAATTATAGTTGGCTCACTTTTTTGGCCAGAGTATAAAATTGTAGGAAAATTGATTATAGTTTAAAAAAGTATATTGAAAACCCATAAGTAAGTCTTTATGAAATCACATGTCTATTTATGCACAGAAGGGTAATTTTTTTAAACTTGATAATTCACTGTGTTGACAAAAATACTAGTTCATGAATATGAAAGGAAACACGATATTTAGTTTTTATTTCAACATAGTATTTTTTAATATAGTATAATTTTTGAAGCAGACTTGTACTGAAGTAGGAAGAAGATAGCTTGTATATATTTGTTTTCTCATATATATACCTTTGTTGTTTGAAAGCTATTTAAGGTTACCTTAAGAGATGTTAGGGAAAAAAAACCATGAAAACTAGTCTTCCAGAGCCTGTAATTACAATTCATACTGATGAATTTAACAGTTTGCTAAACTGCATTAATTTTGATTGTATTAATTTGGAGAGTTGCTGGGCTTGGAGTTTCAAACTTTATGTTATCTAAGAAGGATCACTAGAAATATAGTATTGTTGGAAGAATAACTTTTCAATATTTTCGTTTAAATACAATTACATGTTTGCCACAAATCCACCACCATTTTGTCTGGCTTCAGATACTCTATTTAGAATGAATTCTGACCTTCATTAGAATTGATCTGAGCAGAACCTCAGTTAAGTTATACGTTCTTAGGTGGTGTTGGACTAAGTAGTGAAAATTCTTTATTCTTAAGTTGAAACAAAAGCTAGGTCAAATAGAAAACTAACTAAACTAAAGTTAAATTATCATCAGTTTTGCCTACAGTTTTATATAGAGTCTGGCCAAAACAGACTTACTATGAATTTGGACGGTTCTGTCTTACCAGTACTTTGTCTTGTGATTCTTTGATATAGGTAAGAAATCATACTACGTGAGGGTAGTGTTGACTAACCCATCAATAAAAACAATTTGGTAAACTACATTTTCTCTATTTTTACTTCAGCCAGTCGTCTGGGATTGTATTCCAAAACTTCCCAGTCAGTCTCAGGAGAAGAAATAGATGCCATGGATGTCCAGCAGCTTTCACAAATTCTACCAAAGGTAGGCCCACATAAACGAGGCTATCCAGACTGGCAGGCTTCATTCTGAGAGTTACCATTACTAGTGTCATAGTGAAACTGTATAAACAAATGAGACCCAACTACCAAACTTTTTGGTCTAAAAGTGAAATCTCATTGAAATAAGCCTTATTTTGAGTATTTATGATGTTATCATTATGAATATCATACAGAATCATTAACTTTAGCAAGAACCGAACTTCCTCTGAGAAAAGTACTGTAGAAATGAACCATGCTTATATTTATAAATTAGAAGTTGGAGAGAGATACTACTTTATATTTCTTCTGTGTTTTTTGTTCTTTTTTTTTGGTGGTACTGGGTTTTGAACTCAAGGGCCTCATGCTTGCCTAGGCAGGCACTCTATCACTTTAGCAACTCCTGTTTTGTGTTGAATATTTTCTGGGTAGGGGCTCATGAATTAGTTGCCGGGGTTGGCTTTCAATTGAGAGCCTTCTAATCTCTGCCTCCTGAGGAGCTAAGATGACAGGTGTGAGCCACCAACACCCAGCTTCGGTTTTTGTTTTTGAGACAGGGTCTTTCACTATGTAGCCAAGGCTGCCCTCAAATTTGGGATGCTTCTGCCTCAGCCTCCCTAGTGCTGGGATTACAGACGTGTACCACCTTGCTCTGCTGATGTGTTTTAATTTTAGCATATATGTATGTATGTATATTTTTTTAAACTGAGATATTGTTTACATACAGTAAAATTCTCCAATTTTAGTGCATAGTTTTGAGTTTTGACAAATGCATGCAAGCTAGTAAATAGCACCACAATCAAGATACAGAACAGTTTCATCACCCTGCTGTATTCTCTTGTGCATTTTTTTTGTAGTTAATTTCTCCCTCTACTTCCCTCTACTACTTCTAGAATCAGCCACTGGTTCATTTTCTATTCCTATAGTTTTGTCTTTTTCCAAAATGTTCTAAGAATTGAATCACACAGTATAAGGCTTTTAAAAATTTTTTTATTTTTTTGTTTTTACATTTACTTACATGTGTATGAATTATTTGGGCCATCTCCCCCTCCCCCCAGTATGAGGCTTTGAGCCTCTTCTTTCACTTAGCATAATGCATGTGAGATTTTTGCTTTGTTGGTTGTGTGTGTTGGCAGTTTGCTCTTCTTGATTGCTGAGTAGCATTTCTCCTGTTCAGCACTGTAAAGACATGTTTCTAGTTGTGGGTTTTTTGTTGTTTCTGTTTGAGGCAGGGTCTCAGTATGCAGACTAGACTGGCGTCAAACTCATAATCCTCCTGTCTCTGCCTTCCAAGTGCTGGGATTAGAGGTGTCTGCCACTATGCCCAGCTTGTTTCCAGTTATTGCTGATTGTGAATAAAGCTACTAAAAACATTTGTGTACTAAATTTTACATAAAAATAAAATTTTACTTCTCTTGGATGAATAACTTAATTACTATGTAATATGGTTAATATATGTGTAACTTTGTAAGAAACACTAAATTGTTTTTGCAAGGTGGCTGTGTTCTCCTGCCAGTGGTGTCTGAAAGTTCTCATTGCTTTGTGTGCTCACCTGCCCTTCTAGTAGGCAAGCAGTGGTATCTAACTGTTGTTTTACTTTGTGTTTCCCTCGTGAGTAATGATGCTCAGTACCTTTTCATGTGCCTGTTTGCCATGCTCTTCAGTGAGGTGTGTACCCTGTTTTTAAAAAATTATGTTTCTAATTACTGAATCCTGAGAGTGTTTTTTTTTTTTTTAATATATTGTGGCTAAAGTCCTTTATCAGATACTCTCTTTGAAAATATTTCTTCCTTGTGTTTTTATTCTCTTACCATTACCTCTCCCAGAGCAAAAGTTTTAAATTTGATGTAGTCTGGTTTATCAGTTTCTTTCTTCATAGATCATACTTTTGACATCTTGTCTAAGAGGTCTGCCTAATGCAGTGTCACAGAGATTCTCCTATGTCTTGTAGAAGTTTCAGAGTTTTAGGTTTCTGCACTTTGGTTGGCAATCATTTTGAGTTGCTGTGTATGTAGAAACAGTAAGTTTCATTTTCGTTGCACATGGATATTCTATTCCTGCAGTATTGTTTGTTGAAAAGACTGTCCTTTTTTCATTGAAATACTTTTTTTACCTCGGGTTATATTGGTTTTCTAAGAAATTATTACAGGAAAAAAGATATCTCCTGTTTTATAACCATAGCTTCTGTAGAGCGAGGTTCCCTTATGTGAAATTATTTTATTATTTTGGACTGCTTGTGGGGGCCTAACAAGTACATAAGTCCCAGAGGAGTGGTCCCATAGAAATGGACAGCATTCTTTCTTCCAAATTGTTGACCATGTGAATTTCTTAGGTCATTGTTACTTGGCATGTCCACATGCATGCTGTTGTATGTCCTTCCGTAAGTGCTCATCTGGCATTTTTATTATCCATGATCTAACTGCCCCGTGTCACTTCCTTCACTTCTTCACAAGTTATGTATCAGAACGTAGAAGTTTCTTAAATTATTTCAACATCGGGAAATTTATCCATAAGTAGCACATATTATAGCAAAATTGAAAATACAGAAAAGTAAGAGCTACTATGCAAACTGCTTGTAATCTAACCCAGACACCCAGAGGTTGTGTACCCAACAAATAAGTCCACCCATCATGAATTGTAAAAATGTGTCCAACAAAACTTACTTTGTACTTTACAGTGTTAAAGACTGGACATGCGTTTTACATAACTTTAGCATGTCTGAAATCATTAGTTACTGTAAGGAAACGTGTTTTTAATGGCTGCAGTATGTTTTGCTTGAGTATACTGTGTGTAGATACATCTGTATAAACACATAGCACATAAATGGTTATATAACCATTTGCTTATTGAAATTTGAGCTTTCGTGTATTTTTATTGCTATAAATAATACTTTAAGGATCGTAACAGTAGAAACCATTTATTGTGTTCTAGGTGATGTATATATTTTATGCATGATTTTATTTACTCTTTTTATAGCCACCTTATAAAAAATAGGCAAAAAGCCAGGCTTGGTGGCATATGTTTGTAATCCCAGCACTCAAGAGGCTGAAGCAGGAGGACAGTGAGTTTGAGGCCAGTCTGGGCTATATACTGAGTTCAAGGCTAGCTTAGGCTATGTAGTAAGATCCTGTCTCAACACAACACAATAACCACAAAAGGAAACAAAAAAGAGATAGGCAACTCCTTTTAAAGAATTTTAATAATTAATATAGTATTTTGTTAACACAGTGTTAGATTTAGAGAATTCTTGAGCAAATAATACATACCCACCCCATTTCCCTACTTCATTGTCCCTTTCATATTAGTAGCTTTCATTAGTGTGGTTTACTCACTAATTAATGAACCAAGTCTGATGTGTTCCTGTTGCAGTTCCTGGTTTATAATAAAGTATATTTTTGTTCTGTGTTTTTCTAGGGGTTTTGACAGATCATTACAATTTCAAGCACAGTAATTCCTTTGCCCTAAAAAAAAAAAAAAAAAACCCGTGCTCTATTTATTTGTCCTTATCCACCTTGAATCCTTGGCAACCACTGATCTTGTTATTTTCTGCATACTTTGCCTTTTCAGGAAGTCATATAGTTGGAATAATACCATATGTAGCCTGTCCTGGCTGGCATTTTTTATTAAGCAATAACATTTAGTGTTCCATATGTCTTTCTGGCTTGGTAGCTCATTTCTGGTGAACATTAAAAAATGTTCCATTGGATGACTCTGCAGCAGTTTATCCTATCACCTTTTAAAGGGCATCTTGGTTGCTTCCGGGTTTGGCAATTATAAATGACAGTTGTTGTAAACATTTCTATGTAGGTTTTTGTGTAGGTATAAGATTTCAACTTAGTGTTTGGTAAATACCAAGGAGCACATTGCAGAATGAGATTCTATAGTAGGAGTATGATTCGTTTTGTAAGAAACTGAGACAGGGCAGCCTTGCTATGATAGGTGAGGAAATTGAGGCCCAGAGAACTGGGGAGACTTGACTGATGTCTCAGAGCTGTGAGAGGGTGGCATTGGCATGGGACTGGAGCCATGTGTCTGTTACTCTAAAAGGTCATCAATTGTTTGCAGTTTCTGTGAACATCATTTTTGTGTATGACTTTGTGGTCATGTATGATTACTTCTGTAGACTAAATTCCTGCATGTACAATGATCAGACCAAGGGCCAGCACATTTGTAAGGCTCTCAGTACTTGTTGCTGAATTGTCCTCTGAGACATTTTCAGTGTGTGTTTCTATAAACTGCTGCATCAGGGGTCATTGAGCCCGTCCAGCCCCACTTTCCCCATTCTCTAGTAAGCAGTTTGATCTTGGATGGAATAACCAGGAGACATGCAGTTTTTTACTTATCCACGTTTTTTCTTTCTCTGGTTCTAATCACTCATGAATAGCTTTTTTCAGAGCATTCAGGGCAGTGTGGGTGTTTACTTTGTTTTAAATGTGAAGAAGGTGTTTCCATACTTGAATGGGACTTTTTGCGGAACTTACCGTTTATTTCTGCAAGAATAAATCCCATATTGGGCTCTCCAGGGGTTTGGGACAGAACATACATTATTAAGTGGATATGAAATCTACAGTTAATTAAGTATTTTCCTGTTAGACCTCTATTCAACCTTTTCCCAGAGATGCTAACAGGTAGGAAAATTGGTAGGAAATTTAACTTTATTTGCTTTCTTTGGTTCACTCTCTTATTATCTGATGAAAAAGTGCTAATGAAAACTAACCTAAAACTTAGAGAAAGAAGAAGACAATTACAAATTGTATTATCAGCATGGATTAATTACATCACTTGTTTTTCCCCAGATAGAGTATTTGTGCATTAATTATGGTAGGTGCCTTCATGCTATTCCAAAGAGATTAGAAAAAAATAAAACATAAGCCTTGCAGGGAGCTCACTGAATTCGTTAAAAAGGAATTCTGTAAATATCAGGCCCTTACAGGTATTCCATGTGCTTCAAGTAAGTCTTTTCTCCAAATATTAATGAATTTATTTTAATGAGTAGGACCATCCCAC